CAAGGAATTTTTCCTTCAAATCTGATTTTAAATGGCCAAATTCGCCTTCTAGGACTTCGATCTTCTTTCCGACCATTTTTCTTTCTACGAGTCACAAGAAATCTTCCTCCGAATGCCAAAAAACCCGCTGAAATTTCAGGATTTCAGCCGCCGATGGTCCCAAAAACGATGCTCTGATACCAATTTGATAGGATATACTTGTTTGCACAAGTAAATCTACCCAAAAATGAGCACTACAACAGGGAAACTGCTGTTCACAGCAGCAATTCAGCCAAAAACAGTGAAAACACAAGGAAAACTGAGAGAGATCTTATAGAAAAACCAATAGAGCAATTGTATTTCCCTAGTAGAATCAAGAAAACAAGCAAAGATACAATTTCTCTACTTCATTGACTAAGTGTTGTCCTTGTCACAACAACATCCCTAATTGCTTAGGTTGCTTAGACAAACATTTTAGCTTGCTGTCCCAGCCTTTCCAGCACCAATTAGTGGCATTTAGGTGAGTCTAAGCTTGTGTTTAAGTGCTGTCCACGCTCTAGAAGCCCTCCAAAACACTTAGACAACTTAGATCTTTGTTGTACTTTGCTGTCTTGTTCATTTCAGCATCATTTAGAAACTTTAGGAGCATATTTCCTTAGCATTTAGGTGCTGCCCTTGACCCAGTACCCTTCCTAGTCACCTAGACTATTTTATCCACTAATGGGGTTTGCTGTCCACATCTTTAGTGCACCTTCTAGAAACAATTTGGAGAGTCTAGCTTCGCTTTAGGTGTTGTCCCCTATCTAGATTCATCCCTAAGTGTTTCCAAGCGCTTTCCCAATGAACCCGATAAGACTTCAAAAGAGGTTAGATGACATCGTTAATCTAGTTGGCACTATGACTAGAATTATGACGGAGCAACCACTATCCCCACTCTAAGTACGTGCCCCACTCTGCTTATCAACCTAGACCTGAGTTTAAGCCACAACGACTAGAATCACAAGACCGTCTACCCACCTTTGATGGTTCCTTGGACCCTTACTACTTTAGGGAATGGGTTAGACAATTATAGGACTATTTTGAATCGCATGATATCTCTAAGTCCCGCCAGTTTAGCATTGCTAGGTCACATCTGAGCGGTAGTGCTCTACAATTTTGGATGAGATTGGAAGATCATAAAGAATCTCGAGGTGAGTACCCTACTTGGAAAGACATGAGGCAAGAACTTAATTTAAAATACCAACCCTCTACCAGTGATCGCCATCTAGAGCACCACCCTACCTCTTTTGTTGGAACAAACCTGAACATTACTGTGGTCGAGACCACCCTTCCTTTAGTAACATAATGCTACCACACCCCATAGGTTTTCTCTTAGCCTTGATGCCCGGCCCATTATTGGGTCTTCTGCTGGATCAATCTCATATGACTCCCCACTTGGACCGACTTCTAGTCATCCCAGTCAACCTTTAGCCTCCCTAATCCTTGACCCTGCAAGCGTGATTTTAATAAAGAATGCATTAACAAGAAAAAGTCCTCTGAACCTAAAACTGAGTGCATCCATTTCGTGGATGCTAATGATATTAATGATAACCAGGACTTCTTTGAGGATGAAACTGAAGTGATTGAATTAGACTCCCTGATTGACTTAAATCCTGATTTAGGAGGTCTAGAACCTTTTAACCTTGATACCTTAGCCCATCTGGAGTCTAATTTCATTAATTATATCCCTTTGGATAAGGTCTGCCTGGACAATATTAATTTGATCTCGAAAGAAACTGATCTGACCTTGAACACATTGAAATTAAAATCGGAAGATTCTGATTTAATTAATGAGATGACTCTGATTTAATTTTGAATAATTCTGATGGCAATGTGGATAATTTCAAATTGGAAGTAAGTCAATTGAAGTTACTAACTGAATTAAACCCTGATTTAAGTGACCCCGAATCCATTGATCTTAGGGTTATAACAAAACCTGATCCTATTGAAGATAGTAATATGAGTTTGGAAGATAGTAATTTGAATCTAAAAGATTCTGAGCCTAATTTGAACAATAAACATCCTCTTGTCTTATTGGAGTCTATTTTAGGAGTTGCTCCTTTAGATTTACATTTGACAGAGTGTACCTCTCTTAATTGGACTTATCTCACCGACCTTAGTGTTAGAGAGAGTCTTAGCCCATACTTTAATGTCACATTTCTAATTGTTGTGCGGCTTGTGCCCAATTCTGTTATGGATACCCTACCCCATTTCTTGAGTCCCATACCCGCTAGTGTGACTCTTTGGGCTATCCTACTATGGTAGTGAGTCATGACCCATCGTCTTATGATATTCTTGATTCCTACATTATGACCTCGATATCCTTGTCCTTCCCTATTAAGGACCATCTCTCTCCTAGTTGGATGACTTTGTTAGATTACCCTACCGTCGCTAGGAGACTGTCTGTGATCCTAGCTGAGACTCCCAATGGAGATGCCCTTTTAGCTAAGGATGTCTTCATTGCTCCTCCTACACCAGTTCCCTTAAATACAAAAATTTTATGTCCTCTCATTTTGTGACGGATCCATCTTTGTTCCTATCTATGTGTGCTTGTGAGTTAGTGTGCTTATGTGTGTTTTTGTAGTCTGTTGTCTTCCGAAATTTTCCTCTGTTTTAAATTTGTGTGTGGATCCACAATTCATTCATCCTACATATCAAATATCTTGCATCACATTTTTCCTATATCATTTATCTTGTTGAGTTTTGAATTTTGGACACATGATTTCAAATAAAACATACCGCATTTACATTGCATATGCATGAACTACTTAAGGAAATTGCACACCTAATTGAACCGAACAATAATAATTATAGGCTTCATGCTGAATTTAAACGACAATGTAAAACTTTTGAGGTTGGTAATTCAGTGATGGTGCAGACTTGTCTGGGAATTGCATGCTAGAAGTGCGGGATCATGTAATATAGTCGAAGAAATCAATGACAACGCTTACATGGTGGATCTGCTTGCAGAGTTCAATATTCACTCCTTTTCTAACATAGAAGATGTAGTAGCTTATGAAGGTCCAGAGTTTAAACCCCACATACACTTCAAATTAAGCCTTGTGTACCCCACCTTGTGAGAACCCCAAGCATATCTCCACTCCCAAAATATTCCCAAAATACCTATAGCGGAGAAGGATGACATGATTCTGAGTGATGACATTATTCCCACAAAAGAGGATGGACGAAGAAGATATCTGATAAGGTGGAGAGGTAAACCAGAGTCAGAGGATACATGATCTGAGCGCAAGGAACTATGGCAGATCGACCCAGATGCCCGAGAATTCTTGAGACACCCACTCGACGGAGTCGAGTTTTCTCTTACCCGGGGAGAATGATGAGGACATCGAAGATCAACGGCTACGATCGTGTCTATTTATTTTGATATATTTTATGTATTTGATTTGTTATTGTTCTTTTTCCCTTTCTACCCTCACTTAAGGGCTTTGTCTTATGTTTGCCCTATGGGCAATTGTGTCTTTTTATTTTCCTTCATGTATTTGGCTATTTAAGTCTTCTCCCTCCTCTTGGAGAGGGGATGATGATTATGAAATAAATTTCAGTTTTCATATGGATCTCTTTGTGAGTTCTTGAGAGGAGAAACCCTAGGAGGGCCACGCATCACCCGTCAGCCGCCGGTAGATTCCGGGACTAGTGGTTAGTATTCGTAGTCTTTTCTTCTTCCCCATCTCCCTACACCCGGCCAGTTCCACCTCCCCAAATTCCCCACCCGCCGGCCACTTCAAGCCTCCTAGCCGCTGGTCAAAGCCACCCGCCCCCTTCCTCTCCTTGGGTCATCGCCACCACCTTGAGTTGCCGGCCTTCTCCAAGGTATTTCCCCAAAACCCCTAACTGCCGGCCTCAATAGCCTCTCCAACCGCCGACCACCACCCCAGCAGCCACCAGCCTCCACCTCTTACCTATTCTCTCCACTAATCTAGTCGCCGCCCCCTCTTGGCTCCAACAAATTTTGAAATTCAAAATTCCCAAGGTGATTATTTCCCTGCCTAAAATGAGTTCTAGTTAATTAGGAAAGTTTCCAAATTGGATCTCAAATCAAATATTGGAATTCAAATTCTTTCCTCATGCTCAAACTTAAATTAGGAAATTTTCCTAATTGAATTAAATCTGAAATATAATTCAAATTTGATTAAATCACTAATTGATTTCGTTGGGGCCCACATACTTAATATAACTTCCCCTCTCTCCCATCCCCATATGGCCGGCCCCCTTCCCCTTAATTTCTCCCCAAATGAAGCCCCCAAATCCCCCACTAAATCAGCCCTAATCCTCTCCTAATTACCGCCCTCCCTCCATTAAGGAATAAATTTGAATTTTCAAATTAATTCCTTCCCAAAACCAATCAAAAATCTGAATTAAAATTCAGAGTCATGATTTCCCTCATTTTCCCCTCAACCCTAGCCGCCTCAACCCCAAACCCTCCCACACAGTTTTCCCCCCAATTCTTGAAATTCCTAGGTGCTGTCCAGGAGGCTTCGGCAGGCCAAACTGCTGTCCTACTCGCCAAAAATCTCCTGCTTGCTGTCCTAAAAGTTCGTAGCTGCTGCCCAGGAAATTTTCTCTCTTATCTTCCTAGTGCACTTACTACTTGTGGTTATATGTTGATTCACGACAATCTTGCTAATTCTTCCTCGTTAAAGTCTAGTAATTAGAAGAGTTGAGTGAGGGATCTCCTCGTAGTGACTAGTCTTATTGTTAGCATTGGGATTTATGGTTGAAAACCAATCATGTATGCAACGTCACATTAATTGACTAGTTTGCAATCTTAACTCCTATGCATGTGGTTTAGCCTAAGCTTATCTTACCGCTCTGTGTTTAATTTTGTCGTTTAAAATCAAATATAAAAGATAATTACTGTGGCTTCTAAAATTAAGCGTGCAAATTTCCTTAATCTAATCATCCGTGCACGTACATTTTACATCAGCTATTATATTTAAATATTGGAGCAAGGATTCACACACCTGCCAAACATTTGCCAATACTTCACCATTCACATATTCCAATTCATTTAGAAGAGAAATTTCATGATCATTGTATTTAACCGTTGTTTTTTTCATAGCTGCATCATTAACAAAGCAATCAAAACGACAAGTATGAGTAAAATAAAATGATATCAATCGGTTCAAAGTAGAAACCTTTCCAAGTAACAGGGTCAAGCAGGTAAAGTGTTGAGCTACCATCACTACCAAATATAACTTTCCCATCTGTTGCAAGTCCCCAACCATCGTTCATTGGATGAGCAAATCTACCGATCTGCAAAAATATGCATCTCACCGAAAGAAAGAAAAATAGCATGATGAAGGTATGCAGACCCATGTAGCATTAGTTGTCGATTTTCCTTCATTTCCATAGCTTTAAATAAAAAGAAATTTTTCAACAATAGATGATTGCAATTTCTTTGACAAAAGGGCTATGACAAGTTTTTTTTTTTTTTAATGAAACTTTAGGTAGGATAATGGAACATAGGAGGAGCAGCCAATAAAGGTTTAAGGGAGTAAAACATACATTGCAAGTAGGATAATATCATATAGGATCAAATATCTTGTTGATTATCTTTCTTTTAGAATTTAAAAAAATATGCAACGGAGTTTGTGCAAGCATGGATTGTGAATTGCATGTTTAAGCCACCCAATATATAAATTTATTTCTTGGATGATTTGTGCTCAAATAGTGTTAAAAAATCACAGTAAAGCATGCGCTTTCCAATGTACTTTAATTTTGTTCATAAGTGTTAGCTTAATCAAAGTGAACCCAGAAGTAGACAAGCATGCGCTTCCTTTCAAGCACAATCTGCTCCAACCGCATGCTTCAATTTTTCAATAGAATTGCTAGTTTCTATATTTTTCCTTATTTTCTTTTTTTTTTTTCTCTCCATAGATCCTCCACTTATAGCTATGCTTTGCATATTCTTCAGCCTCATTATTCATAGCCATTCTTTTATATTTCCACATTATAGAAGACTTTCATTCACCACGTATTTCTTGAGTGAAAATTAAATGTGTTAGAATATACATTTCTCTTTACTCCATACTAATAAATTAGGGTTGATATTTTAGAATTTAAATTACACAAGTAGGAGTTGCACTAGATATGGTTTAAGTGTGACTACAAATAAGAGTTTGAATGATGATGTTGTAGAAATTAATAAAATTGGAGATATAATTATAGCTTTAAATATTATTGTTAATGCTAAATAAGTGTTTATTCTCCTCAAGTAGATTTTAATATGTGTTCAAACATAAAATTTTAGAATGAGTAGGAAGAATTAAGACACTTGAAGAAAGAGTTTGCATTGGAAGAGATTTTAATGAACATGTTGTCAGAGTAGTATAAAATTTAAAAATCATTCGTAGTGGCTATCGGCTTGAGCGACTAATAAAGGTGATAGGATCATATTAGATTTTACTCTACCTTATGATTTTGTAATTACTAATAGTTTATTTAGAAAAAAAAGGAGTGTTTCATCACTTACCAGAATAGAAATAATAAAACTCTAATTTCTTATTTTTTATAAGAAAAAAAGAACGTTTAGATTGCAAAAATTGTCTGAGGGTGTTGGTTCCTATTTTTAAGAATAGAGAGGATGCACAAGAGTGTGAATTATAGAGGAATTAAGTTAATGTGTCATAAATAAAAATGATAGGAGAAAGTAAGTAAGAATAGGCTACGATGTGATACTAATGTATCTCAAAATTAGTTTGGATTAATGCCGAGTAGATCTACATCTACTATAGAAGCTATACATTTATTGAGAGATTTGATAGATAAGTATAAAGAGAGAAAGCAGTATCTACATATGATATTTATTGATCTAGAGAAAACATATGATAAAGTTCCAAGAGAAGTGTTATAGAGAGTTTTAGAAAAGAAAGGAGTTACTAATGTTTATATTCAACTTGTTAATGATATATATATATATTATTTATGTTCAAACACAACATGATTTGACAAAGTATTTTCTCATTTTAGTTGGATTATATAAGGATTAGTTGTAGATCAAAAATCGAATATATGGAGAATAATTTTGGTAGCAATAGATCTAGTGGTAGGCTTGTAACATTTGATGATCAAGTCATTAAAAAAATTGAATATTTTAGATATCCGTGTCTATTGTTTAAAATGATGGTGAAATAAATGGGGACATTATTACTAGAATTCAAGTTGGATGGTTAATGTGGAGGGATGCATCGGGCATGTGTGATAGAAAAGTACCCCCCAAACTTAAGGGAAATTTTTACAAGATGGCGGTAAGACCAGCTGATGTAGAACGGGTATGGGGGTGGGGGAGATTTGGAATTTGAATTACTTAATTCCCATAATGTGATATTCAATTAGCGAATTAATTAATGGATGGGAATTAAAAGGAGAGGAGGATATGGAAAGGGGAGGGGTAGAGCTGGCGGGTAGCATGATTATGGGTGATTGATATGAGGGTTAAAGGCAGCTATATTTATAATCTTAAAATAAGAAAGTGGATTTAAATCAACTCCTATTTAAAATTCAAAATTGCATGATTTGAGGGACTTCCCTAAAATAGTTTTCCTCATTTAGGAAGTAAAATTCATATTCAAACATAAAATTCAAATTCAAATTCAATTGAATATGAATTTAAATAGTTTCCAAAATTAAATGGATAGGAAATGATTTGAATGCTAAATTTTGAATCTTTGAGCCAAGGGATGGATAATGGCCGGCGGCTTTGGGAAGAGGATTGGGCAGGCGGTTGGGTGTCTTTTAACCTAGGGTTTGGGTGGAGTTTTCGGCCAATAGGATAAAGAGAGATGGGGAAGTGGCGGTTAGGAAAATAAGGAGAATAATAAAAAGAAAAGAAGACAAAACCGCGAGCCTTAGACTCTTTTGAAGACTAACGGGTGATACGTTTCCCTTCTCCAAGGGACTTCAAGCCACCAACCCTGACCCATCCTGCGGCTGGTGAAAACTCAGATTCCTTCCCATATGAATCTCACTAACGTCCTCCCAAAAGATCATAAGTGCATAACACAAATTTTATTATAATTTCATTATACCTAATACAAGAGAAGAGGCCTCTATATATAGGCTCAAAAGAAACTAAAAGACATATTTGTCCATTTGACTTACATAAAACAAGACTCTTAAATAAAAGGGTAAAAAGGGAAAATTACAAAATTAAATCAAAATACAATTAATACAACAACAATAACATCAAGCCTTTATCCCACTACGTGGGGTCGGCTACATGAATCTTTTTTCTCCATTGTGTCCTATTAAAAGTCAAATTCTCGTTTAAAACTAAGATAAAACAGAATGATCTCGGTCGTCGATCTTCAACTCTTCCAGTGAATATCGTCTATCGTCGGATGTCCACATCACCAGCAATACTTAATGGCACAAAATGTTGGCCTTTAAAAAAAAAGCATAAAATTAAATTAAGTGTTACATAGATGAGAATGCTCAGGTGAAAGAGTGATTTTACACTTAGAGACAGAATACAAAACGAGTATATACATGAAAGGGTTGGAGTAGCCCAGTGGCAGATAAGATTACAGAGCATCACCTGAGATGGTTCAATCACATATGTTGGACCATGTTAAGAGAGTAGATGTATTAGATCCGGCCTATATTAAGAAAGGTAGAGGTAGACCTAAAAAGACATGGTTAAAAAGTATTAAAAATGACTTTTTCATTAAATTTAAATGAGAATTTGACTCCTAATATGACACAATAAAGAAAAAAGATTAATGTAGCCGACACCACATAGTGAGACAAAGGCTTATTGTTGATGTACTCCTTATTGATATTATTTTGTAGGTAGTAATGTGTGTTCATTTGTATTTCTTTTTTTTTTTGGAGAATGTCAGTTCACTGCTATGTTTGTACTCTCAAATTAATGCAGGGCATCTTGGATTATAGAATTTACAAATGTAAACCTAGGATAAGATGCAAAAATTAGCACAAAAATGAACAACAATCCACTAATTATTGGTTTAGTAAAAGCTTAGCCTCTTTTGATGTCAATAATAAAATACATAAAATACACTACAAATGATACTTTAAAACTCATCTAAAACATAAAATTATGCAAAACATATTATATGGTAATGAAATAAAATCACATAATGATTAGGAGCAAACCAAAAGTAAAACCAAATTGCAAAGTTATAGCAAACTCAACATAACTCAATCACAAATGCAAACCAACAATTAAAAAATAAATAATAATAATAATAATAATAAGTACTCAGTTTTATTCAAGCCTCACACTGGTAAGAAAGAAAGCATCCCTCAGAAGTTATCACCAAGACTTTCATCACACCCAAAGAAATTTCCTCCAACACGCACATGTTTGAGAGAAAATCAAGAATTTTGCTGAACCATTAAATAAATTTTGCATACCTAAGAGGTCGTATTTATAATCAAAAGACACAAAATAAGTAGTTTTGAAAAAATCTCAAAATCTGACCTAAAATTGTATGTCTCGATTTCAACAATCATAATTATAGCTAAAATAATAATTTTGGATTCAGCCGGAACAAAAACAACAAGCTTTAGTCCCTGTTATAGTGAAAACTGGAGAACAGAAGGAAATTGATAGTTCTCCCCTACTACAGTAGAAAATTTGAGAGCATGCAGAGAAGAAAACAGCCGATAAGGTAACAGGCAACAATCAGCGCCCACAAAAAACACAGATAACAAAGTTAGTTACCATATCAACAGCATTGGGCATCAACGACAACAAGTAGTGTCAGTTTCCAAAGAGAGGCAGGGAAGTAGCAAACTTCAAATAAAAGCAAAAAGGTACATAATCCAGGAACAATTTTGACAACAAAATCAACAGTAGATTCTTCCAATATAATAGCTAGACAACAAAAACATAGAAACCAACCATATGCCCAAATAAGGAATCAAAAATAGTCACAATTTGCAATACTAAACCGAACCCACTAAAGAAATCAAAATATTAGAGAACACACCTTCTAATAGACGGCATCATTATAGGTAAATTTATAATAGGTAAAACAACTAAAGCAAAATCAATGCACACAATATGCATATCTAACGAGAATAGATTTTTTAGATTTGGATCATTTTGCTCAGCTTGAAAAATCCATCTCCGATGAAACAAGTATTTAATATTGTCAAACAAAGCATAATTGATCTACAACCTACAAAGCAATCATTGAATCATCACAAGAAGGTTTGTCATCCCAAAACATAAGATATATTGATATCCACTATTAGTAGTGAACATAATTTCAACATATAATATAGCATTTAAAACAAGGGGTATAAAACCATCAATTAAAGTGTTGAATGTGAATTCAAAAGGAAAAGCAAATCTTCAATGTGGATGATCCTTGGCAAGAAGACTGAACCTTCTTCTTCAAGGAGGGATGAACCTAAACTTCATGAATGCACCTTGAATATGAATAACCACATGAAACTTCCAAGCATGAATCAGGAATATAAAAAATTGCAAGCAGCCTCAATATTGTATCAATATTTAATTAAATGAGATTCAATAATAGTAAATTCAAAAAGAGTGAGGAAGCAAAAATGAAGGGGTAGGACATACCAAGATAAAAAATAGGTTAAAAAAGAAAATGCTACTGAACTTCCCATTTTCTGTTGACCTAGTACCTAGGAGCTACCAAACTTCACTCCCACGATTCAAGGAAAACCTCAAAAATATTTCATGAAGTCGAATAAGAATGTAAGATATGGATATGGAAAAGAAAAAACCTTGCTTAGATTATACCGATCATATATGAACCCAGTTTTTGTTAACCAGGTCACTTGGAGCAACCTGCACGTGAAAGCATCAGTTAGATGCCTCAATGGAATAGAACGTAGACAAAGAAAAAGAAATGCATATTTCTACAATGCAACATTTAACAAAAGAGAATTATCATTTTTGGAAATCATAAAGGCCAAGTTCATAGGACATTGTAGAAAGAAAAATAATGTTTTCATCAAAATGTAAGGATGTAATTTCACCACATTGTTATGCAGGGGAACAACCTCAACATGCCACATAAGTTTGCACTTTTTTTTTTGTTACTTAAATAAAAAAAATGGTATTTAAAATCATCTGGATCATTTCCATTATATATATATATATATGTTGATGTTATATATATATATAACATCAGAGGAATAAATTTAACATATACATGAAATATTTTCGAAGTAAACAAAATAATACAACAAACAGATTTTTCAAAAGATTAACTTTCTCAGGCTGACTTGAAATAACTGGTTAATCGCTTATAGATGTGCGTGAAAAAAAATTTAAGCTACAAGAAGATCCACATACCTTTCACCAAAAAGGGTGAGGCCTTCTCCAAAAAAAGATTTGCCCATAGCATAAGAAAGTTCTACCTGAAAGGAACGAAACGTTGGTTCCATTTGCCACACTAAATTCAAATACAAGTCATCCTTAGGAAGAAAATATAATATGATGAATGTAGTTAGCTTCATCATTTTGTATGTAATCTATAATCAACTTTCAGAACCTTCAATTTTATATTAGTTGAAGTAAATAGCGTTACTGAGTGGTTTGTGCAAAAAAGATTTGCACAAAATAATATTAAAGACGATATGCAAAATTTGAAAGAACAAATGAAAAATGGGGATTCAAAAATCTGACAGTAAAATTGTTGGGATATGAAGGATGACACTGATGAATACGAAATTAAGCATCTGATAAAATAGCAATGATGATTTTTCATGTTGAGTTGTTGCGATAAGAAAATCTGCCATGTAGGGTACATGTATTGTGAAAATAATTAACCACCATCAAGAGACCTTAGTTGTTGTTCACCATAACTTATACACTCAAACAATTTTTTTCTTAAAATTCCTTTGAGGCTTACGCAAAAGCATATATATAGTTACAATGTTGTAATTTTTTAGTATTTCATGCACTGTATAGTCATATCATATACAAGCTCACAACAGACCTACACATGGTTGCAATGTTATAAACTTTTGGTATTCCATGCCCCTTATAGTCAAATTATATACCAATTTGGCACACAACACATATGGACATCACACAATGCGTGCGCGCGCACACACACATTAGTGGTTGTAGAGTGATTGTATTTAATATCTTAAAATTGTACATAAATCCACACAAACATAGATAACATAAGAGCTATAAGAGACACTAGAGCTTTTACATAAAATTTTTAGAAAAGGAAAACCAAGGGGTTGGGCCCAGTTGAAATGATTCCACTAATATACATTATCAATTACAAATGATGTCATTCCTCATGATTGGGGAAGATATTGTATTTATACAATATAGTAGACATAAAATGTATATAACATATTCTATGAAGTTATAAAATCCATGGCAAGGGAGCTATCTTTAGGAAATTGCTTATAGTTTATTTGATTACTCACCTTTGAGAAGGGGAGAATGTAGATCAAGAAAGTCGATATAAATCTTAATGCTAATATTGGGAGTCGTAGTTGGTTTTAACGACTTGCATCGGTCTTATAAGCGATGACATGCATCAACACAATTGATGACGGAAGGCATTGGGGTCATCGGGTGATACTGGACATGAGACTACAATTGGACGATGATAGTTGCCGGGGGGTACTTTAGCCAGGCAACGAAAGCTAGGAAACTGTAGTTGAGCAACGATAATTGGAGGATTGTAGTTAGGCGATGGTGGGTGAGGGGGGAGGGTGGTACTTTAGCCAAGCAATGAAAGCTATGAAACCGCAGTTGAGCAACGATAATTCGAGGATTGTAGTTAGGTTGTTGGGGGAGGGGGTTACTTTAGCCAAGCAACAAAAGCTAGGAAACTACAGTTGAGCAACGATAATTCGATAGTTGAAAATAAAGCTGTCGATGCTCTCAGTTGTCGTATGATGACTACTACTAAGATGAGAGCAGAAGTCGTGGGATTTGACCAAATGAAGAGGGACTATTTGGAATGCCCCGACTTCAAGGAGGCCTACTCTTTCTTGTCCACAGGCAGCACGCGCCTTGTGGACGATTTCCTATTGGAGGATGGTTATCTTTTCAAAGCTCAAAGGCTTTGTATCCCTAGCACCTCCCTTAGGGAATTTCTTGTCTGGGAACTCCACGCCGAAGGCCTCGCTGGGCACTTCGGTCGGGACAAAACTATCGAAGCAGAAGATTATTGTTACTATTGGCACAGCCTGAAGAGAGATGTAGGTAGGATGGACAGTCGGTGTCACACATGCCAACTGGCCAAACAATGCAAACAAAACACGGGTCTGTACACTCCTCTGCCTATCCCTAGTTGCCTTTGGAAGGATGTTAGCATGGATTTTATCTTAGGCCTACCCAAGACAATTCGTAGGAACGACGCCATCTGTGTTGTAGTTGATCGGTTTTCCAAAATGGCGCATTTTCATCCTTTCTCCAAAACGTCCGACGCCTCTCACATTGCTGAGCTATATTTCAATGAGGTCGTCTGTTTACATTGTTTGCCCAAAACCATTGTATCAGATCGGGATGTGAAGTTTACTAGCTATTTTTGGAAAACCCTGTGGATGAAAATGAGTACTAAATTACAATTTTCCACTGCCTTTCACCCACAGACGGATGGTCAGACTGAGGTAGTTAATAGGAGTTTGGGTAATCTGTTGCGGTATTTGGTTGACGAGCACATTAAGGATTGGATTCCATTTTGCCTACAGCTGAGTTTGCTTATAATAATTTTATTAACCGAACCACTGGCCTAAGTCCTTCTGAAATTGTATACGGGTTCAAACCTAGACAGCCGTTAGACCTTATACCCATGTGTTCTACTTCTAGGTATAGAATTTCTGAGTCTGCATCATCATTTGCATGAACTTCATAAATAAATTGCACAACAAATTGAAAAGAGCAATAATGATTACAAAATATATGCGGATTTAAAATGAATATTTAAAACTTTTGAGATTGATGACTCCGTGATGGTGCAGATTCATCCGGAACGGTTCCCGGAGGGAACAGTAAAGAAGATGCATGCTAAGAGTGTTGGACCATTCAAAATACTTAAGAAAATCAATGATAATGCTTATGTAATATATATGCCTGCATAATTCAACATCAATCCCTCTTTTAACATAGAAGATCTAGTTGCGTATGAAGGTCCTGACTTCAACACCAAATCCAATCATACAGCAGCCTTGTGTGACCCCACCGTGTGAGAACCCAAACCTACCTCAACTACCAAATATTTCCAAATCACCCATGGCAGAAAAGGTGGACTCGGTCCTAAGTGATGATATAATATCCACAAAGGAAGCTAGACGAAGAAGGTACTTGATCAGGTGGAAAGAAAAGCCCGAGTCAGAGGATACTTGGTTGGATCGCGAGGAGTTGCAGCACATTAACCCTGATGCATTAGAGATCTACGAGAGCACCAGAGACACTTACTCAGCGGAGTCGAGCTTTCTCCCACCCCGGGAGAATGATGGGGACATCGGATCGTGGAAGATCTATCAGAGACGTGGCCGTCAATCGATGACCACGATTGAGTCATTGTATTTTTGATTTGTTTTATGTTTTTTTCTTATTTACGTATTTTCTTATTTATGTTGTCATATTGTGTTTGCTTTATTAGTTTTCCGTCGTACCCTTTTATTAAGGGATGTCGTATGTAAGCCCTAAGGGTATTGTCATCCTGTTATATTTAAAGTCATTGTAAGAGGCTATTTATAGCCTCATTTGTTCTTCTTTTGAAGTTAATGAATGAATGATAAATTTTCTTCTCTTGTGATTTCTTTGTGAGATCGTATGAGCATTTGAGAGAGAAATCTCTAAGAGAGAGAGATCGTATCACCCACCAACTTAGGAGACAGCCGAGTTCGTGGTTCCTTATTCTTGTCTTTTCATTAACCCCTTCTCCCAAACCTTGCCGCCAGTCACTTAAATCCCTTCTACCACCACCACATAAACTCCTCTTCATTGGCTAAACTCAACCCCTTGGCCCACTTGCCCACCCAACCCCTTCCCCCCACATCCACACCCACAATTTCCACCTTAAACCGCTGGCCCTAGCCCCTTAGCTGCCGCCCCTATCCTCTCTCCCTTCTTCCTTGGATTTCCTAATTTGGTTGGGGTTAATTTGGGATCAATTTGAAATTCAAATCAATTAAATTTGAATTCAAATTATTTCATAATTTAACTATTCTATTTTAAGAAAGTTCTTAATTAAATCAATTTGAATTTTAAATTTAAATTGGATTTAATTAAAACCTTTCCTAATTCCTAAACTCAAATTAAGAAGTCTTAATTCCTCCCACAATTAAGCCCCATAGCCGTCGGCCCCTATTAGAGAGAATTGGGGATTTGTTTCCTAAAGCTCCCCTTTCTCTCTTGGAAAGATTTCCAAATCTCCCCACTACTCCTTGGCCGAATTTTCCAAAGCCCACAATCCTTAATTTATTTCCAAAACCAAATAATTGAATTAGGAAATAAATCCCCATCCCCATCCCTCATTATGCTACCGCCCCCTCTCTCTCTCGCCACTCCCTGTCTCTCTCCTTAATTCCCCTCCCCAATTTAGGGGAGTTAATTCCTCCTAAATTTCTCCTATCTTAATTTCAAAATCTGAAATTTATGTCAGATTTTTTTGAATTTAAATATCCCATTCAACCTAATCCTAACTCCACGTGTGGCTCCCCCGCTTTGGCCGAACCCTCTCCTCTCCTTAGCTCTTACTCTTGAGAGGATCCCTCTTCTCTCAAGACATCTAGGAGCTTTGAAGGCGCCGTCAATACCACCACATACACAAAGCCAATGCATGGCTGATCTAGATCTTGACTATGACCTCTCCTACGACGAGCAAAGGTTCGTGTGCATCTTGCATTCAACCTTCTTCGACGTCAACCCGCGCATCGACCACACCATAGAAGAATACGTGGAGCGCATCCTGGATACCTTGGTCAAGGCTATAGAAGAACAACTTGGAACCGTCGAGTGGAGGATTACAATCGATCCTTAACGAAGGTTTTCTAATTTCCTTTCTCGTATTTCTTAACGTCTAATCCTTTCTTGTGATTTCATTGTACTCATGAAGGACACGTTTGTCCGATTCTGTCAAGCTTAGTAAACGTAGGGAATTGAGTGCACTTCACTGTTTTCTAAATCTTATTGGTAGATTAGGGATTTTTGTTGAAAGCTACTACTTTGCATGATATTGTTTTCCTATGATATGTTGATGTTTCAAATCTCTTGATATGCAACTTACCCTAAACGAAAGTGACCGCTCTTATGTTTTGATTCATCGTTTTATTCGCTAATAGTTCTATTTGTTATTTCTCTAATCTATAAGTTGTGCAAGCTCTTAAAAAAACCTTTGCAAGCATTGTAGTCCTACATCAAAAACATTTATTCAGAATTTTAAACTTATTAATACTACACTAAATGCCATTAAATTTGCAAAAGCAAAGAAATAATTTTGTTGTTTCTAAGATAATAAATTTTGCGGATAAGAGAATGAACCTAAATTATTGAAAATTTGAAGTTTTGAGTGTATATACCTTTCCAGACTGGAGATCAACCTTTCTTACTGTTGACTGCATTTGACATTAGAAATAAAATATCACATGACCATCTAATTGAAGGAAATTAAAAAGAGAAAAATAAACAAAGAGTTGAACGGTCAAAGAAAAAAGAATTACGTTGTAAAAGTACATGTTCGAGAAGATCATGCAAAGGGTGAAAAACATTTTGAAATTAAAAGAAATCTGATTTGCACGATATAGATTAGCATTATTGACACCTGGGTTTAACAAGAGATCTTTTCATCACAAAATTAGGAACCTAAAATTCTTGTGTGTGGGTGGCATCAGAGAATTCATATGAATTTTACAATGTTAATTAAAAGGGCCAGATTAACTGAGAATGATTTTATTATTGTCTAACAGCAATGGGTTTTCGGAAAGAGAAGAGTGATAGAGACTTCAAAGGGTGAATTGGCAAGAAATCAAGATTCAGCTCTTTTAAGTAAAAGGGGAGAAATTCTGGAAAAGTAGCGGTGAGTACCCCCGTAGAAGAAAATATTTTGAGAAATGTTAGATGGACACTGGGCAATGCGTCATATGTGGTCAAGTTATACATAAAATGAAGACGAGGATTAAATTTGACATATTTGGTGAAAAGAATATTTATTTTCCAGTTGGTCAAGGAGTATTCGCTTATCTGCGAACGGTAAAATAGATGACGACTAGTAAGTAGTAACCATGTATTATTAAGATGAAGGATGAAAGTAAACAAGTATAGAGGATAAAAGATGTCTATGTGGTCAGTTATCATATAAATAGGCTCCATATAATCTATCAAAGTTGCCACCCAAGAGCTCGATAGAATCTACCGATATATTGATGGAAAATGTGCCAAAATCAAGAACGCTACACAAAATGGTCATTAAGGAATCACAAAAACTGAAAAGTACAATTACAAGAATTGATACATAGTGCTTAAAAAATCCAAGTTTATTATCTTGAGTAGAACTAAAACTATTTGTGAAAAATAAAGATGGAAGTATGAGATTATGTATTGATTATTGAGAATTGAACAAGGTGAATATCAATAATAAATATCATTTATCAGAGATTGATGATATATTTTATCACTTAAAAAAGGCTTTAATTCTTTCAAAATTTATTTGAGATCAAAGTATCATCAATTGAGAAGATAATAGCAAAGATTGTAATATGCACCAGGTATGGCCACTATAAATTATTGTTGGTGTCATTTTGATTAATAAACAAATGCATTAGAAGCCTCCATTGATTTAATAAACAGAATCCAGATCAATTCATAATATGTTTATTAATGGCATATTGATGCATTTAAGGAGTGAAGAAGAACATGCTAAACATTTTAGCATTGTATTGGATACACGTAAGAGAACATTTTTTTTAATTTACTAATTTTGAATTTTAGCTGAGGAATGAGGCATTTTTGGGGCAGATTTTTTATAGAAAGGGCATATAAGTTGATTCTCAAAAAGGTAAAAGCAATTTTTGATTGACCTATTCCAATCAAATTTTCTAAGGATCTCAATTTCTTGGGTATGGTTGATTAGAATAAAAGTTTTATGAATGAGTTCTCGTTGATTAATCCTGCATTATCTAGATTCAAAAAGAAATAAAATTAGAGTGTTCTGTTGAGCAAGAACAAATATTTTAAAAAGAATTCTTAGGAATCGTCCTAGGCAGGACAAACCAAAAGTGCTATGGGGAAACCAGATCCCCGCCCCTCTGGATGTAAAGTGTGGAAATCAAACAAGTCAATTGTGTTGAGCAACAATATTAGATTAATGCAATATAGCTTCCGTAGCAATTATAAAATCATAAGCTAAAATAAAATCTAATATGGTCATATCACCTTCATTAGTCACTCCAAATTCATAGCTATCATGAATATTTTTAAAATCTTCTACCACTTTATCAACATGTCAATTTAAATCTCCTCAAATAAAAATAGCTCCTTCAAGAAGTATCTTTTATATTAATTCTTCTAAGTCATTCCAAAATTTCAATTATGAACACATATTCAAATCTACTTGAAAAGCATAAATACTGAAAATATTAATAATCATAGCATCAACAACAATCTTTAAAGCTATAATTTTATCTCTAATTCTATTAATTTCTACAACATTATACTTAAAACACTTATAAATAATCATACATACATCATTTCAAATATGACTTCAACCTGAATATCATAGTTTAAATCATAAAGTCATAAACTATTAATCTCCTTAGCTTTCCCTCCAACCCATTTAGTTTCCCGAATACATAGAATATTGATTTTCCTATGAATCATAATATATATTAATTTTTCTATAAGAGAACATATATATCAAGTTTATATCCTAATTATAACTTCATGGACTAACTTATTTGCCCACATACATCCATGATGTGGAAACCCTTGCTTATTTAACATTGCAATCAGGCGTCGGTACAGCGGCCCTTGCACACTTCCACTCTGTATTCAAGCTATACAACATGTCGATTCTAAGGTATGCCCTTGCATTACCACAATGCATTAAATAATTCATGTCATAATTATTCGATAAATTTTACATTGGTTGTTGACTACCTAACACAACCCTCCACTTTTCTCATCCAGGGTATGGGACCTGGCAATAGCAGTGTTTTCCTCATGGAGCATAAATGTAAAGAAAATAAAATTCTTGAAATCCATCACGTAATATAAAAATTACAAGTGATTTGGAAAATATTTAAAAGCAAAAAATGGGTATTAAATTAAACAGGTTACAATCAAATTAACTACTTTGCTGAGAGTCAAAATGGTGATGCCGTTAAAAAAATATGCTTACTTTGAACGGTTGAAGGTTTATAAAGTACTAAAACTAAAACATAGGAGGGTGATATAGCATGAATGGTACTGCAATATGTAAGCAAGTGAACAATATATCGAATTATAAAATGATTTTTTTACTTAAGTTCCCACTCTAGATCTCCCTAATATATATGCACTGAAGAAAGGTATCTATTCTTATATTCTTTGGGTTGTCCGTTCCTAATGAACTGGCATGAATAAATGTTATTCAGGCAAATTAGAAAAAAAACAAAAACCTGAAACAAATAAATGATTTTATTGCATCAGTGTCATATCCAGTAGTCTAAGAAGCCCAACCTAGTAAAGAGGAAAGCAAATAAAAAAGAAACGGATATTGTAGTTAAAACTCCTCCAGAGAATAACCTGAGTGCATGATTTGAGTATTACAGTTGCATTTGGAAGTAGAAGTGTTGAATAACTGAAAACCTCATGACATATACGAGTTTCCTACCTTCCCATAAAAACCAGTCGACTCAAGTAATGTACCATTTCCATCGTATAGGAGGCCCTGGTGATGAGAGAAAGACAGAAAAAGTTACAATTAATATTGTGAAAATGCACTGATTGTGAACAAAAATACGCATGCGTGGAAAGAGATTACTAAGTGTTCTATAATAATCATTAGGGGTTTGGACCCAAATATGAATCAACCTGGGGAAATTGAAAAAACAAGGCAAAAAAATCACTGCTTCGGGGGTAAATTAAACCTGATAAATTTGATTGAATGGAAAAGGTTGCTAAGCATACATAGTTTTCATTAGCCAACTATAATGACTAGTCAATTCACAAAGTACACCTAATGTATCTTAGTAGATGGCTGGTCTAATCTGATGGACCAGCTCAAGACCCATGACTAGTCTAATCCAAGCCTAATCCTAATAATCAAGAAACTAGGACCCTAACCCGAGCTCTCCTGCAGGACACCTTGGCAGCCTTCAAGACTCATCACATCCCTTGGTCCACCTAACTTAAAAAGTTCTTGAGTCTAGACCCAGCTAGCACCAAGGATCCACAGCCACATCTAGGGGTGCAAACGAGTCTAGTCGAGCTCGAGTCTGGGGGTGTTCGAGTCGAGCACAACTGTCAAATATCGAGCTCGAGCTCAAACTCGAGTTGAGCTCAAAAATCGAGCTCGGCTTATTCCATCTTAAACGAGTTCGAGCCGCTTGTTGAGCCTCCGGCGCGATCCTCAAAAATATATTCGGGTCTTTTTGGGTTTGATGTTAGCGGGAGGAACAGAGAGAGAGTATTGAGAATATTTTTTTGGTTTTGTTGTCCGGGCCTTTAAGAGGGGGGAGAGAGAGAGAGAGTATTGAGCATATTTTTTGGTTTAACTGTTAGCATTTATTATTCCGTGACTCAAGAAGAGAGAGAGAGAGAGAGAGAGAGAGAGAGGCGATTGAGTTTTGAAATGCAGGCATGGGAGGGCAAGAATTTAAAGGCTGGTATTATTATTTTTATTTTTTTAATATTAAAATTCAATAATTTCGAGCATGTGAGCTCGCGAGCCAAGCCTGCTCAAGCTCGTTTCTTGAGTTTGAGCTCGTGGCTCGATAAGCTCGGCTCTCGAGCTCGAGCCGGCTCACTTACACCTCTAGCCTCATCCAATTATCTCACCAAAGCCATTTCAATGGATCAAGACACCTTCGATAAATGACCATGGACCTCTCTTGAATCCCCTTCACCTTTTGATTAGGCTAGAATGGCCTCTAATCAAGCCTTGGACCTATAATCCTTGCTTAAAATGATCCAAGAAATCGGTACCAATCCCTATAAAAAAAAATTTACATGTAATTTTAAACATCCACATTTTTTTAAATTTATTTACATGTTTAAACCCATTTGCATTATTTTTTTATGTTAAGCCACCTATTTCGCAAATTACCAATAATAATGATAACAATAACAAATTTTGCAAAATTCAAAAAACTTATAAATTGAATCTTAATTTAGCTTAAATCATCAAGCCTTGGTTCAATTGACCACCTTATATCATACGCATTGCAACTTGCATAGAAAATAACTTACATAATAATTTTTCAAAATTAGGATATTTTACTGATTTTTTTAATATAAAATGGAAATTAGGACCACCCAATTTGTGATTAATTTTATTAAATTCAAACAATTCACATTGGATCAAATCTTGAATTAGCTCAAAATTTCTTTTAAACATAAGATTTGTTAAATACATAAATACCTTTTTAAAAAATTTTCATGCATACCACACAACTCCTATGTATTTATATACCTAACACTTAAACTGTGATATTTACATAACAACCAATTCTTTAAAACGCATCAAAAATATGAATATATGAACTCTTCTGAAGTGGAATACACCTTTATGAATATATTTTGATGAAAATAGAGCATTAAAGTGCTAGATAAGTAAAAAACAAAGTTTAGGTGTTACATATATAAATACAAGAATTTTGTGGTGCGTATGGAAATTCCCCAAAAATTTAATAAACGGCATAAATTACATAAAAATATAATGTGATGAGTCACAGGGCTATAAGATATTTATAGGCCCTTAAAATGGGACTCACACTAGCACTCACACTAGATTATCAATCAAAATCATCCTTAGGCATCCCTTAATCTATGATGTGTCGTGATGGATATTATTATTTTATGATGAATATTACTATGCTATATAAGTGGAAAGGTTGGAGTAGCTCAAGTGGTAGACAAGATTAAAGAGAGTTTCCATAAAAAGTAAGCCTTCTGATGACCCAATTAGGAGAGTAGACGTATTAGATTTGGCCTGTGTTAAGAAAGATAGAAGCAGGCCTAAAAAAACTTAATTAGAAATTAGTATAAAATTTTATTTTTATTATATTTAAATGTCATAATAACCCATAATGATTAAGAAGTATAAGTAATATCTTAAGCATTATCCATGTGGACATAAGAATAGACTTACATAACCCTTATTATTGTATTAGATTCTGGAAGAGTTATATCCTAGAGATATCATAAGTCCTTACCTTAAGTCCTTACCTCAGGCACCTCTCATGTTATTATAGAGATATAAGTGCCTAGATAGAATTAGACTTAAGGAAAATATCATTAATTGTGATGTTGTAGGCCAACAACTTAAGTAATTCCCTCAAAAATATTTCATTTTTATTGTGGAAGAGTAAGTCCCCCATTTTAAAAATTGAACCAAATTGAACATAAATATTTTACATAAGACATTAATTATCTTTGCATAACACAAAGTAATAAGGTTTTGGGCATCTTGACTAACCAAAGTTGAATACTCCAAACATTTCTTCCCTTCGAATCCAAATATTTTGTTATCAAGTTGAGTCAATCACCAATTGAAATCCTATATCAAGTCCTTGAAATCAAACGTTGAAATCAATACTAGTCATTACCTTAATTGAGAGTGTTCTTAGAAAAATGACACTTGGATTTTAATTAACTAGAATAAATTTATGGGGATCAAAAATCACAATAAAATAAACTTGTTTAGTTTCTTATTTAATCTAGGGAAATATCTGAGAAATTATTTAAATGTTTACCCTATATAACGTCCATTGAACCAATTAGGAGTTCTTTTTTATCTTTCGAAATAATATATTCATTCCTTATAAATGCTCTTTTGAAGCCCGCTCTCCCCTTTGTATGAACTCTCTACATCAACTGTCACTCACCCTTAAATGAAATCTTTTCAACATCATCGATTATCATGCATCAAGAGCCCACTAAATCAAATAAAGCCTCTCTAAGGGTGATGGACACTTGAACCTTGTCATGACATGGTTAAACAAATCAATGACACATAGGAGCAAAAATTCACATGAATTACCTGATCACAATCGAACTCAAATAACACTTTCTATAGTTGTGTGAACCAAATAGGGGTTAAGGTTGGGCTGGATACACTAATGATCAAATATATTCTTAACCAAAATCTCGAGTCAATGGGGGAGTGCCAACAAATATTACCCTGTGTTGTGTCTTAACACCCATTCCCCATCCCAAACTTGGGATGCATTGCAATTGCAGCCACTACCCAACCCATTGTCAATTGAGGATTGCAAAATGCAGAAGCATTGTAGCCACTATCCAATCCATCCCCAATTGAGGAAAAGAAACCGTGGGTTAAGCCTCATTCTCAGATACATCCTAAAAATTCTGAAACAAATGGTTAAACAAGTTTATCGAAACTTAGCAGAAATTAACAGTTGACATCCTAAATATTTTTTTAGAATTTAACCTTCTTGAGTCTTTTAAAATCAAAATTCACAGGATTCGCAAATTCCTAGTTGCATTCATTGATAGTAGTTGTCAAACAGTCCTTTAAACTAATTAGGATTTCCTCGTTCTAAGCCTTCACCGATTTTAGTTCACTTTTTTTGTGAAATCAGGACAAATTCATGGAAAATAATTCCATCATCACAGAAAGCAAAAATAGGAATAGCTCCCTGAAGAATATTTTAGCCGCACGACTTTAATCTTCAAACCTGAACATAATAACGCTTCATTGAGGACCTCTCGCATGGAATTTCCACTTAAGAAAGTGAATCAGGGAGGAAATCATCGCAAAAATCAGACAAATCAATATCTATTTTCCAGTGTCGACAACTCCGGAGGGGAAAACTCGAGCAAGAATGATATTAACCTGGGTGAATGCTTCTGGATCGTGGGGAAACTCATTGACAACATCAAAAGAATAAAAGTGAGGGATCGGCCCTTGAGAAGAGGCGAGCTTCCACGTGACGAATACAAAGAAGATGACGAAGAGAACTACCAGCACACTGCGAAGGGACCCGCTGCTACCTGTGAAACCTCTAAGCCGGGAAAAAGTGATGGGTTTTGAGCGAGTAGAAGAAGGAGAAACCATGGAAGAGGAAAGCTTCGAGTTTGCCCGCTTCGACTGCCCCTTCCTTCGAAATCCAACAGCCATTTCTAACAAGCCTTCCTGTGTCGGAGGTTGCCACCCGCCGGCTAGGCGAGGCTCAGAATACAATCCCCGCCCTTTTTATTTTTTACCTTAGTCACATGAACTTTTTTTCAAGTTAAATCATCTAACACTAAGGGTGTAAGTGAACCTAATTGGCTCGAGCTCGACTCATTTATAAGCTGGCTAGTCAAATTTATCGAGCTCACGAGTCGGAGAACTCTAGCTCATATATAAAACCAGCTCAAGTTCGAGCTTGACAATGCTCGGCTCACGAGCCAACTCAAATTCCACCTATAATTTAAATAAAAAAGGGACGATGGCCTCGAGGCAGACAAAGAGTTTGAGAGCTTTGCGCATTTGCTTGCATATGAAGAGCTTGAGGAGGCGGAGTGCGGTCCACATTGTCTGCAAAATAGAATGTATAGTAAAATGAAAGGCAACATATTTGAAATATTTAGAGATGTTTGGATGAGTATAAAGTAAATGCACGTGATTGTTTTTTTTTTTTTTTTTTTTTTTTTTTTTTTTTTTTTTTTTTTTTTTTTTTTTTGACTTGAAATAAAATGAATGCAATGTAAAAATCAAAATATGGTGATGGTCAACAGTGGGCAAGAGTGAATGGCGGCGGCTAGCGGTTGACAGCTGCAATTAGTGGTAGTGAGATTATAACATGCGGTAGGGGTGAGTGGAAGCTAGCGTCAGTTATGATGGTCTACAGTAACAGCCACAAGTGGTGGTAGGTGACGACCAACAACGATGACAAAGAATTTACATTTTATTTATAAATCATACAAAGTTTACTAATTCTAAATACATCAAAATTATACTATAGAGTTCATTCCACATACATCAAAAAATTTATTATGCACTTCTTTTACTTTAATAAATTAAGCACTTGCCTTTGAAATATTTTATTTTTTATACCTATTTTACTTCAAATCAACCAAACCAATCCTCCTGAAGTATTCAAGGACTTTACACAAGCTTTTATTATTTTTTTTCTAAATTAATTTGCACTACCATACTAGCACATAAATAATATATATTCATTAATTAAACACCCCTATTATCTCTTATAATAATTTCATAAATAGCACAACAAAATAATACATGTTTTTTTTTTAGTTTCATTAAATTATCCCTTATCAATAGTACAAAAAATTTAAATAATTCATTTCAATAATATATCATATTTTAAGTGCCTTAGTTTATAGCATTGATCACTCTATAGGTGTATCAACATTTTATTTAAGAGACATTAATTTGTTTTGTTAAAAAAAAAAATTTCAAAAGGGCCAACAATTCACCTTGAGTGTAATTAAAAAATGAGAAAGTCTAATAATGAATATTTAGGAATAATAACTATAATGACTTAAAACTATTATATTAAAAAGAGAGTTTTATCATTGTTGTGGGCTTGAATATACGCGACGATAGAGTTCTAACTATGCGTCTTAGCTTTACACGGATATCCAGCACACACACAGAGAAAACATGATTTTTTTACGTGGAAAACCCTTGAAAGGGAAAAACCATGAGGCCTAGCCCAGTTGAAAATGATTCCACTAGAATTTGAGTCGATTACAAAGGGCTGATTCAACAACAACTATTTGATAGAAGTTTGGTGTTAGTTTGTAGTCTGGCCTTAAGCAGAACACCGGGCCTTGAGCAGAGCGTCAGGCCTTCAGCAGAACGTCGGGCCTGAATGTCGGGGCTTCAGCAAGACGTCGGGCCTGAACTCGGGACTTGAGGTGGTGGTGCTACGAAACTCCGGCAGTGGTCCGGCGAGGCTTCGGCGGTGGTCTGGTGAGGTTCCTAAGGTGGTCCGGCGAGGTTCCTGCGGTGGTCCGGCGATATAGCGGCGGTGGTCCGGCAATGTTCCGGCGGTGGTCAAAGAGGAGCTTCTTCCTTCTCTTATCTTCTTCTCTTCTTGCTTGGGTCCCCTCTCAAGAGAAATAAGGGGTCTATTTATAAATTTTCTGGAGTGGCATGCTATAACGACCCAAGATCCGTGTAGTGAAAGGATTCATCTGATCGATCATTCAGCAGCTACAACAACAGCAAAGGAACGAGGTCTCACACATGCCCCGTAAATAGGTGAGATATAAAGGGTAAATGGGGAGTGGTTGGATGGAGGCCGATATTGAACCCCTTGATCATGGGCCGTTCGTTAGGCATTCGGAGGCCTTAGTGATGTCGGAATTCGGTGATCTTGGGCTTGTTGGATTCGTCTCATCGAGCCGTTCGATTCGAGTATAAGCTCATTAAAATCGGACACCGTTTGATAACTTAAACAGTGCTACGAAGCTTCCAATAGCGCTTCGGGTGATTGATTTGGACTCATTTGGGCTCGGATTGAGTCGAATTTGGAGTCGTTGGATTCGTATTTCCGAGACGCTTAGTTCGACTATAAGTTTGCTAAAATCGGAGTTCAGATGGTCTCTGAATTAATTTTTGAAATTTCCAACTTGATTCTGCATCGAGATTCGTGCCCGATCAAAATAATTTTTTTAACGATGTATCAATCATAATATTTATAAGAGCTCGTGATATAAATAATGAAAAGTTAGGCAAATGAAATAAGAATCTACTATGGTATCAAACAAAGGCAGGACTAGCATCTCTTTTGAGAATGAACAAATATGATTTAAGAGTTCATAAACTTAGGGTTAAATATTATTTATTTATGTATTTATATTATGTAGAATGTTCGTCAAATATAATTATTGAGGAGGTGAAATAAAATAGTTTCAATGTTTATTCTACTAAGGCTTCATTTGAGATGACTTTCTTATTGCTTTTTAAATCAGAGTTTTAGGCTTCCATTGGGACGGCTTTTTTATTACATTCTAAAACAGAGTTTTAATACAAAATTAAAAAATTTTCTCCAAAAAATAACTAAAATTAAAATGATTCTATATTTACAACTTCATATTCCAACAATATACTAAAATTTTTAAAACCCCCATATTTAAGATAATTTAAATCACTTTAAATTCCAACCAAAAAGCGCCTTAGCGATCAAGAAGAAGCTTGCACCAGGAACTAATTTCCACTCTCTGTAACACTTCAGTCTTCATACCTCTCCAGCTCTGAAACTATTGATTTCCTTTCGAGGAGCCAATCGAGCTCGCAGAGAATTCTTCATGACGACAGTGAATTCAAGCTTCTCAGAAAGATCAATCTCCTCTCCTTCCACGTTTTTCCATTCGAATTCCTTTACAAGATTAGCCACGAAGTATTCCAGATGAAAAATGGCCAGTCCGAGCCCGGGGCAGATCCTCCTCCCTGCTCCAAAAGGCATCATTTTGATCTCTCTGCTTCCAGTTATATCCATTTTTTCTGCTGATCCTCCCTCCATAAACCTCTCAGGCTTGAATTCCGCGGCTTCTTCCCAAATCTTCTCATCCAGAGCCATTTCCGTAACGCTGAAATTGATCGGTGCGTTCTTGGGTAGCAAGTACCCTTCGAATTTGATATCTTCTGTTACAGAATGGGGAAGAACAAAATGGCTTGGAGGATGAAGACGTAGCCCTTCCATGATCACTGCTCTCAGGTAAGACATCTTCTCAAAATCCTCAGAATTTGCTTTCCGGTTTTTGATCTCTTCCCAGAGTTTAAACTGAATTGCTTGATTCTTCACTAACTCCGCCATGATCCACTGTAGAGAAGTGGATGTTGTATCGGTTCCGGCGTTCAGAAACTCTGAGCAGAGCGCTACCAATTCGTCTTCGTTTAGAAGCCTTCCACCATCTTCCGGTAATTGGATCTCCAGCAGAGAGTCGAGGTATGAACAGATTGGCATCTCACTCCCCGGATTAATTTCTTTCTTGCGCTCCTTACGAGATTTAATCAAGGGGCAAAATACTTCTTTCTGCTTCCGACGTAATTCTGTAGCAGTTCTTAGCTTTTTACGAAAGAAATAGCCGGCGATCGCCGGGAGGTAAGGTAGAAAAGTGAGCTTACTGGCATGGAGAAGGAAATTTCTCTGGGCGATCTCAATTTCTCGGATAACCTTCTCGTCGAGCTTCTCCCCGAAGCACATCAGCACGAGAAGACCGAACATCGCGAACTGGAAGATATCTCTAGGGACAACGATTCCGTCGTCAGTTTCCGATTGGGCACGAAGGCGATCGGCGAGGATATCGAAGGCCCAGCGGCGGCCATCGGCGAAGAGGCGGACACGGGAAGGATGTAGGGTCTCGGAAATAAGGTTCCGGCGAAGAAGCCGCCAAATTGGACCGTAGGCAGCGGCGGAAATGATGTGTTGGTTGCTTGAGAGGTGGCGGGCGGCTGAGAAAGGAAGAGGACGGTCGGAGAAAGTGGCACCGTGCTCGATGAGAGCCTTATGGGCGAGAGAACCGTCGGTGATGAAGATCGCCGGAACAGAGCCGATGCGAAGCGTGACGATGGGGCCGTACTGGGCTCGGAGATTGTGGAGGACGGATTCTAGATTTTGGATCTTCAAAGATCGGCGGAGCCATAATAGGTTCCCGATAATAGGAGCTGCCGGCGGGCCGGGAGGGAGCTTTCGGGTAGTGAAGGAAGAGAAGAGGAAGACGAAGATAGCTCCGCATAGCGAGACCCAGAGAAGGAAGAGCAGACCAATCTCCATTTTCGCTGGCTTCAGTATTCTCAATATCCGCCATATAAATAAATCTTACAAATATATTTTAATGATTTCGGAAAGCAAATTATCAAATTTTTATCAAATATTATAATATAAAATCATTTAAAACTTTTGCGACAATATGTTATATATTTAGAGAAGGTCAAGGAGAATGTTAAAAATCTAATAAAATAAAAGAAATATGATTATTAAAAAATTTTTAAAAATAATAAATTCGCTAAATTATTTGGTGGAGGCATATTTTGAATATGCCATCAAATAAATTATTTTACGTGTTGGCCTAAAGAGAGAAAAAGTGAGAGGGAGAGGAGAGGAGGCCACTAGTTCGAGAGGAACTTTTATTACATCCAGTGAACGTACGCTCCTCTACGTTCGGTTTAGGCAAAAAAGCGCATGTACCGAATTTTTTCAAAAAAACTCGGTACAACTTGGTACTCGGTACTCGGTACAGGCGCTTTTTTTTTCCTAAACCAAACGTAGAGGAGCGTACGTTCACTGGATAAGATAAAAGTTCGAGAGGAGAGAGCCGGCGGGAAGAGAGAAAGAAGGAGAAACCTGACAGAGGAGAGAGAGAGAGAGAGAGAGAGAGAGAGAGAGAGAGAGAGGAGAGCTGGTGGGGAGACTAAGTTAAATAATTATTTTAATATTAGTTAAAATATTTGTTAACCTATTATAGGGGTGTCAATATTGAACACGACTCGAAAATCTGACTCCCAACAAGAAAACTTTGGGTTCGGGTAAACCCGAGCCTGAATCGGGTCGGGTTCGGGTTAGAAATTTTGACATGTTTGCAAAAATGGGTTGGAATCGGGTTGACCTGGAAACCCGAAATCAACCTGATTTGACTCGGACCAACCGTTTCCCGCTCTTTGTCCGTCTCGTTGTGTTTGCTGAAGTGATGTCGCATCAGCCATCACATCTAGCAGCGTCAATTGTCGCGTCTGTCATCGTGTCTGCCAAATCTGCATTTGTCGTCGGAACTCGGATCGGACGTCAGCTTGTGAGTTTGTCGTGTCCGCCAAAGGCTCGAAGTGATGCAACCCGCTTAGCCTGACCCGAAAATACTTATTTTGTTCACATCTCATATTAAATAAAAAAAAAACTCTCTATTAGGACATCACTTTAGAAGTGGAAGGCCAAATATCCTAACTGTGTGATTCAATTGATTACGGTATGATTTTGATCAATTTTCTCGATGATTTGATATGAGATCTTGAAAATATGACTATTATTTTTGCCTTAATAGTTTTCCAACAATTACTATTATCTCCACCTCTTGCTTATCAGAATTCTTATTGAAAGCGCAAAATATTGATTCCACAATTATCTGATAGGTGAGACTAAAGGCTTCGTTTGGGACGGTTTTCTTTCTGCTTCTTAAAGCAGTTTTTTGGTAGAAAATAATTAATTTTTGTCCTAAAAAGCTGCTTTAAGAAGCAGTAAGAAAGCCGCCCCAAAGGACAGTTTTTTTACTGCTTATTAAAGCAGCTTTTTAGTATAAAAAATTTAGTTTTTTACTAAAAAGCCGCTTTAATAAGCAATAAAAAATTGTCCCAAACGAAGCCTTTTGTTGCTTCTCAAAGTAGTTTTATGGTATAAAAATTTTAATTTTTATTCTAAAAAATTGCTTTAAGAATGCTTCATTTGGAATCATCAAGTTGAAGTGGTCAGGATAAACTCAAAAAAGCCATTAAAATGAGGGCATTCAGCCTCAAAGTTGACTAAAGAAAACTCGTTTGGGATAACTTTTGTACTGTTTTTTAAAGCAGATTTGTAGTAAAATAAAAACAGGCTTGTAAATTTTTGTATTAGAAAGTAATAAGAAAGTTGTCTCAAATGAAATCTTATATTTAACTTAGGCTTCATCTATGACAGATTTCTTTCTGCTTTAGGAAGAAGTTTCTTAATACATTTTTTTTTTAATTTAAACTATTTGTACTAGAAAGTTGCTTCCTAAAGTAGTAAGAAAATTGTCCAAAACGAAGCCTTAGTTATGATTTTAAGCCTCAGGGTTGGTTAGGTAAAATTGAAATTTGTATTAATTAAATATAAATAATAATTAATTAACTTATATTGGACATCTGCTGATCTCAAATGGACTTGAGATGTATTTGCTTCCTATAGAATTACATCATTTTAGGTCGAGTCTTATATTTCATTTCTTATTCTATATATATCATAGAGTAATAAATTACACTGACGTGTCGTCAAAAAATGCCTTTGAAGGAGCATGAATCTTGAGTCATGTTTGATTTGAAAACTTTTGAAATTAAATTTGAGAAAATCCAAATTCCAATTTCAGCAAACTTATGGTCAAATTGTACGTCCTGATGAGATGAACCCAACGATACTAAAACGTGTACAATCTGAGCAGAAATTAGCCTAAAGTAAGGGCTTGAAGTGTATATAGAAAATAATCAAATGTTATTCAAATATAGAATGCTTATAAGTTATAATTAAACCGAGTGACTTGACAAAACAAATCCAACGAGCCTAATATCACTTAATTTTGATATCATTAAGGCACTTAAATGCTTAAAGAGACACTCTATTATTGGGTAATCAATACGGGCCATATGACGGAGCACTCCGAAATTGCTCTAGATCTTCTCCAATTTACGAGAAAAATCTATAAATAGGTCCTCACTCTTCGCATGAAGGGGGCCTTGGATCTTGGGCTAGAGATCAAAAGAGCTCAAAGGCTTGAAGAGTCTCGTGGCTCCAACTAGCACCACCGCTGACAATATTTCATTTGGTCGCTCAACAACCATCGGACCTCTAACGAGTTGCCAACATTAGTTGGATCTCTGCTCGCCGGCTGAACGATGTCAGACCTTCGTCCCATAATCGATGCTAGACTTTTTCCTAACCTTTGCCTAGTTGTTGATTGATGGACATCCGCCTCGCCACCGTTGCTGGACCTGCAACAACCAACCACTGTTGGGGCTTTATTACAGCCAAACCTCTGCCTGGTTGCCAACCTCCGTTGCACTCCGACCACAGTCCTTGGACCATAGCTGCCCCATCACGATCCTTTCAATCTCAATCACCCTTTGACCTTAGTCGCCTGACTATGATCCCACTAATTATAGTCACCTGCCAACTACGGTCCCTCGACCCACTGTCGCATGGAAAGTGGGCCCTGCGACGTCGCTTGCCTAGCTACGATCCCTCCAACTATGATCCTTTCAATCTCTATCACTCAAATATGATCACTCCGACCTCTCTCGCTCGATTGTGGACCCTCTGACCCCATCGCTCAACTATGGTCATCCAAACCTCGATCACCTTCGTCGCCTGACTACGGTCATTCTAATTTCAATCTCTTGCTGACCATAGTCCTCGGACCGTAGTTTCCCTATTATTATCCTCATACCTCCATTACCCAACTAAGACCCTCCACCATCATTGCCCGACTTCAATCCCTCTAACCTCAGTCACATGAGTATGGTTCTTTGACCACTGTAGCTTAACCATGATCCTGCTGACCAAAGAAATAAGCAATCAATATCTTAAGATCAACTCTCCTATCATTAGATTCTTTTAACTTCAACTATGTAATGTGCTTTATATAATGTATATTTGCTACATTTTGCCAATTCTATCCCCTAGGAAAGACATCATTTGTAATTAATGATAAACACCAGCTTTTAACTTGGCAAGCTCTTGCAGTTTTTCGTTCTTTTACATAAAAATTCCGATATCTCTTATGCATATTGACAAGTGCGAGAGGATAATTATCAATAACAAGACATGTCAATAAGCTAAATTAAAAAAAATATATAATAATAACAATAATTTGATATAAAAAATGAGATAATTTTTTAAACATTTATAATGTCCTTATATTTAAACGATTGAATTCTAATATATTTTTAATATATTTTATAATACATTTTTTTAACAAGCCCACATAACTACGTAAGAGCTAGCAAATCGACGCATCTTTTTATAAGCCAGCTTGGCCCATTTACAGCCAAATCGTAATAGTATTAAATCCTGCTCACGAGAGAATGGCCAGCGACTTTAAAAAACTAGAAAAATCCATGGAGTGTAGGGAGAAGCAAGGGAGACGGTGACGGAATACAATGGAGGCGGTTTTGTTCACCGAGAGAAAGTGGAAGGAGAAGGATAAGGATGATGCGGAGGATGTCAACGGCGCCTGCGGGCTACAGAGGAAGGGTTGGAGAGGTTTCAAACTTAGCAAAGTGACTCCTGCGATGGGGGTTGAGGACGCCGCCGCTTCCATTGCCATCGCCGGAGCAGGAGAAGGGAGCCGGATCGTTTACCTCGAAGAAGATCAAGGTAGGGACTCCTCTTACCCTTCCGTAATTTTTTAACTTTTTGGGAAAGTTTAGTGCCAACGCACTAATTATTCGATGTAGACGGGACTGCAGGACCCAAAACTTTAAGAAACCCTTCCATTATTCCCACATCTAGTTCCATTATTAAGCAAGGGAGGATTTGACAGGCGGATTGCAACGTCGGATTTGCAATTTCTCGTTTGCTGGGCCCGTGTTGGGCGTACGAATGCTCGCTGACTACTTGGAGGCCCCTCCTCTTGAGTTGGACAGTGAAAGGGGAAGATAAAAATGACATATGTTAGATTTTTTTTTTTTCCTTTTCATTTTGATCCATTCTCTTCTATTTGTTACTGTTTTGTCGTGGGAGGTCACCGCAAAACTTGCTATTGTTAATTTTCGTTCATTCATTTGGAATTAATTTGAAATTGATTTGAATAATTATAAATGTGATTTCAATAATATTTTCCGCTATTAGAGCCTCTAAATACGTTAGCACCTATGGATTTGCCCTCTAAAATGTAGATAAAATTTAATTACTGCAATAACTCCAAAAAATAAATCACCGTTGAATCAACTAAATATCATATAATCTTATGTACCTTTTGATGATATACTCGAATTATTTAGAATTTCTCTTATAGTTTCACCTAATTTCCAGCAAATAATTCCTTTAATTTGAAATAAATCAAACATTGTAGCTTTTAATTTGAGACGGCTTTCTTTCCTAATTTGAGTTTTCATAGCTAAACTTGATGCTCATGCTAGAGAAATATCAATTAGCATGGTTGAGCCTGCTCAATTGGATTGAATTAGATGTTGGAGATCCTCCTGGAGCGTGACTTATCTTAAAGTCATTTTCCTTTCCAATATGTTATTGATTCCTTTACTTGTTTTGCTTTCTCTTTCCCCTGACAATTATGGATTTCTAATATGTATGTTTGGCACCTTGTGCATCCACTGAGCTGGGTTGGTTGAGATGGTCTAGTGTTCTTTTTCTTGTCCTGGCCAACTGCTGGGATGGTAGAAGTGACAAATTTCTTGAACAATTATGTTTAGGAATTAAAACTTTGGCTAATGGGCACTTGTGGAACTCCTCAAGTTCATCTCTTGATGATTTTGAAAGTGTTGACTGTTTATCAAGCCATAATTCTATATTGTATTGCAATAATCATTTGCACATTTAACTCATCTATAGTCTATTTAGCAAATGGACCTGCGTTGTTGTGAATGTAAAGGTTGATTTCCAAGAGTGGGTTCGGTGATCTCAAGATGGCCAAAATATTTCCAAGAACTCAATTATTTGTTCAAATAATTTCAAGAAATCAATTATTTGTTCAAATACATTTTGTTGTTACTGTAACAAAATGCATGCCATCTATATGTACTGATGTAATTATAAAATATTGCTCATCAGACAAATTATGATGTGAAAAGAATTGAACAACCTTTAAAAACCTTTCTTTTGGATTAACCCCATTGAAATGTGAAATTGTCATTTTAATGATTCTTGAATGAGCGTGAGGTAATAGCAAAGAAGAAATATGATCAACTAAAGTGCTTGAATTACATGTTAATTTGTAATGAATTTGTTGATCCAATTTGCTCTTCATTTGCATCAATAAATTGCTAGGGTATCAATAAATTGCTTGACTTAACAATCCAACCAAACTCTACTCTGACTCAAAAAATATGGGTTTCAGTTGATATTATTATTATTATTAGGGTTTGAAATTTTTGCCCTGATTAATTTTTAGGTCAAATTTAGGTTGATTTAAAAATTCGAAATTGATTTAAAATTGACTCAATTATCATTCAATTTCGGGTTAAAAGAATTATGGTTGAGTTAAAAGGGTCATGTCATGTTAAACAGGTTGAATTTGAGATAATTGAGTTGTGATGATCTAAAAAAAATGCAAGATCCGTACAACAAATAGGTCAAATGGGTGAGTTTAGGTTAGGTAGGTTCGGGTTGAGCCTGATTTGGGCCAAATATTTTGACTTGTATAATAAATGGGTTTGATTCAAGTCAAGCTTATCATGTTTGGTCAACTTTGGGTTAGACTCAAATTGGACCCAACAACTTGAATTAATACCTTTAGTTGTGAGATGTCATTCAAAATCATTGTGATAGATGATGTTTGCTCATCTATTTTAGATAATTGCCTCATACTATCATTTATTGTTCTTGATGCAGTTTTCATCACTTCTTCCATGATTTATGTTTTATCGAAACATCTATGCCTTCTATAAAAAACGAAGAAGTATTTGTATACAAAAACAAGAAGACAATGTCAGCTGCCCCTTGGTTGTGGCAAAATTGAATTTTTGATCTTGGATGAGTGGTTGGATCAAAATATGTTGATGTCGTGAAGAAATCTTCATTTCCTCTGAGAAGCAGAAAGATAAGAGGGTTTTGATGCAATGAGTTTTTGCAAATTTTAGTGGCTATGGTTGAGGTAAGATAGCCTTTGATAAGTACTCAACTTCTAGTAAAGGAGCCTGTAGGTATTTACGAGTGAGATGTGGGTTTGGAGCGTAGTTTTTGAATGTGAGAGGAGAAGCATTTTTGAGTTGAAGGGAAGACACAAAATTGTTGGATATTGGCGATGCAGTCAATAATAGATGGAATAGGGAAATTGTTGACGAGATTCACAGCATTTTATAGGTATTGTTAGGAATCACTAGAGTGCTACTAAAGGGAATAAATTTGAGGCTTTGGATCAGGGAACAAAACTATGGTAAGTGATGGAACTCGCCGTGAAATTGCGTCATAGAGCTGCGAGCGATCAAATTACATTGTTAGATTATAGTAGATCAACAAATCCTCGATGGATGATGACCTTAGAACTGTAGACATGATTGAGAGAATGATGAGGTTTGCATCATAGAAATCTGCAATTTGGATGGCAGTGTGAAAGGCATGGGATCCGACATTACTTGTTGCCAACAGAGGCTTGGACAGTGTTACTAATCTCTTGAAGAAGCATGTAAATAATCTCGCAACAAGGAGAGACGGTTAATCCTAATGGGGCATTTCAAGCTGTTCAAAACTTCATAAATTAGGAAAAAAAGGTGACACAAGAAGGGGAAATTAAATTAATTAGTTCACATCTTCAGGCGTGGGCGCTGGCGGCCTTGGCGGGCTCGGGGGCGGCGGGCTGGCAGGTGCTGTCACGCGGGCAGCTGAGCATGCAGGGCTCAGGCAGCTGCGGGCGGTGCGCGGGCAGGTTAGTGGGTAGCAGGTGCAGTGCGGGCATCTCATTTTAAACAGTTTGGCAAGTTGACCCGGCAACCCGTCGGGTCAACTCGAACCCGACCCGTTTTTCAAACGGGTCGCATCCAAACCGAAATTTTTGTGCCTGGTTTTCGTGTCGTGTCAAATATTGACACCCCTAATGGGCACTTGTGGAACTCCTCAAGTTCATCTCTTGATGATTTTGAAAGTGGCTACCATTTATCAAGCCATAAATCTAGTTGATTAGTATTATACACCGGTTGTATTGCAATAATCGTTTGCACATTTAACTCATCTATAGTCTATTTAGCAAATGAACCTGCGTTGTTGTGGCCCGCAGAATGTAAAGGTTGATTTCCAAGAGTGGGTTTGATGATTTCAATATGACCAAACCATTTATGAGAACTCAATTATTTGTTCAAATAATTCCAAGAAATTAATTATTTGTTCAAATACATTTAGTTGTTACTGTAATATAATGCATGACCATCTATATGTACTAATTTAATTATAAAATATTGCTCATCTGACAAATTATGATATGCAAATAATTGAACAACCTTTAAAAACCTTTCTTGTGGATTAACCCCATTGAAATGTGAAATGGCCATTTTAATAATTCTTGAATGAGAGTGAGGTAATAGTAAAGAAGAAATATGATCAACTAAAGTGCTTGAATTAAATGTTAATTTGTAATGAATAGTTTGCTCTTCATTTGTATCAAATGTTGTGAGTAGGGTATCAATAAATTGCTCTACTCAATAATCTAACAAGACTGACTTTGACTAAAAAATTCAAAATTGACTGAAAATTGACTTGATTATCATTCAATTTATGGTTAAAAGATTATGTTTGATTTAAAAGGGTTATGTTCATGTTAAATGGTTTGCATTTGAGATAATTGAGTTGTGATGATCTAAAAAAAATACAAAATACATACAACAAATAGGTCAAATGGGTGAGTTTAGGTTAGGTGGGTTCGGGTTGAGTTTGATTTGGGCCAAACATTTTTACTTGTATAATAAATGAGTTTGGTTCAGGTCAAGCATATTCATGTTTGGTCAACTTTGGGTTAGACTCAAATTGGACCCGCTAACTTGAATTAATCCCTTTAGTTGTGAGATATCATTCAAAATCATTGTGATAGATTATGTTTGCTCATCTATTTTAGATAATTGCCTCATACAATCATTTATTGTTCTTGATGCAGTTTTCATCACTTCTTCCATGATTGATGTTTTATCGAAACATCTATACCTTCTATAAAAAAGAAGAAGTATTTGTATACAAATACAAGAACACAATGTCAGCTGCTCCTTGGCTATGGCAAAATTGAATTTGTTGATCTTGGATGAGTGGTTGAGTCAAAATATGATGATGTCGGGAATAAATCTTTATTTTCTCTGAGAAGCAGAAAGATAAGAGGGTTTTAATGCAATTAGTTTCTGCAAATTTTAGTGGCTGTGGTTGAGGTAAGATAGCCTTTGATAAGTCCTCAACTTCTAGTAAAGGAGCCTGTAGGTATTTACAAGTGCGATGTGGGTTTGGAGCACCTGGTAGTTTTTGAATGTGAGAGGAGAACCATTTTTGAGCTGAAGGGAAGACACAAAATCGTTGGATATTGGCGCTGCAGTAAATAATAGATGGAATAGGGAAATTGTTGACGAGATTCACATCATATTATAGGCATTGTTAGGAATCACTAGAGTGCTACTAAAGGAATGAATTTGAGGTTTTGGATTAGGGTAGAAAACTATGGTAGGTGAGGGAGCTCGCCGTGAAATTGCGTCATAGAGCTGCGAGCGATCAAATTACATTGTTAGATTACAGTAGATCAACAAATCCTTGGTGGATGACCTTAGAACTGTAGACATGATTGAGAGGATGATGTGGTTTGCGTCAGAGAAATCTGCAATTTGGATGGCAGTGTGAAAGGTGTGGGATCCGACATTACTTGGTGCCAACAGAGGGCTTGGACAGTGTTACTAATCTCTTGAAGAAGCATGTAAATAATGTCTCAACAAGGAGAGAGTCTACCGTTGAATGATGCAATGAAAGCATTATGAATAGGATCCTTAATCCTAATGGGGCATTTCAAGCTGTTCAAAACTTCATAAATTAGGAAAAAAAGTAACACAAGAAGGGGAAATTAAATTATTCATTTCACATCTTCACCCTTTATAAATGGGGGTATTTATAGAATACAAGGTGAACACCTAATTACAACCCAACTAATAATGTTTTGGGCTCACAGTAGAGCATCCTAGTGTTTGATTGGCGTTTCATGTAGGTTTGGTGAAGGTTCTGTTTGGCATAGTTTACTAGTTAAATACTTGGTTTACACTCTGTTTGGCATTGCGTACTAATGTTTTAAGTGTTTTTAGGTGTTTGGCCCAATACCTGTGAGGACAAGTCTGGTTACATGAAAGTTAAAAAACAGATTCTTAGAACAATAAGGATGCAGCTTCCCAAGAAGTGCTTATGCTGATTATCGCCGCTTAATTTAGTAAATTAGTAAATTACATGTTTATTTAATTATATACTAATTACGATTTGAATTTGATATTATCATAGTATGAAGTTCATAATAATGTCCATGTCGGTTATTCAATTAACTCGCAGCTACGCCGCATCATTTGTTGCTAAGTAGCCACAGCTCTTTCAGCATTCTAGAAAGCATTTTTAATATAATTTTGTCAGAAAAGAACCTGCTTTACTGAATGACACAGTAGACAGCAGCATAATACTGCACAATACAACACAACACAATAAATTCATGCAAAGTTGGTGAACTTGCAAGGAGTTTGGTTTGAGGCACATATTTTCCAAAGATACCCTCCTTTTTCTAAAGAAGTACACGGAGCTAGTTATAATCGTTGAAATTGTTTATCCTCTTAGTATTTATTTTAAAGAATTAGTATCTGAATCTTCATAGGAATTATATTTTACGTTTGAATTTTTTCCAATTTTGGATTTTTTTTCTGGTAAAAAAATACGTTGTTTTCATTTTATTTTATTTTATTTACTTGAAGGATTATGGAAGTGTCGGCATTGTTCCTGGACCTACCAATTACTTGGCTCCGGCATAGAACCTCATAAGAAACACCAAACCAGTTGTCAAGTGGCGATGGAATCCAGAACAATAACACAAAGTCAAGGTCAGTTATTCATTTTGCCAAAATAACGTAGTTTATTTTGGCCGTCCAATTCTTGTAACTTTGGAATTAGTTTGTAACAATTATGAGATTATTGAATATATTAGAAAATTTACAGTTAGGTAAATAATTCACATATAATTTAGTTATTTACTAAGTCATTCTTTCATTATTGTTTCTAGTGCTTGAAGGTTAGGCAATATTTATTCTAGAAAGCTTAATCAATTTTTGGGTTACAAAATCATCTATTTTTTTTGTTCTGGTTTATCTATTTTACTGTTGAGTTTTTATTAACAACTTGTAAACCTACTGTTCAATAAGGAAAATCCCCCATAAAGTATATAGCCGTCAATAACAGGGACTTAACTTTATTTTATTTTTTTTAAAAGAGGGACTTACTTTATTTAGAGAATGAAATTTGCAAGGTTGAAGCTTATGCTAAATGATGATTACTGCTGCAACTCCGCAGGTACTTAATTTATTAGTTCTGATTATACTGCACTTAGATCAAAAGAAATAGAACATTTTGTTTCTAGACTAATGTGTGGTCTTTGGCAAAGTTCCTGTTGGTTATACCTCATCGTAAGGTGTGGCTGGTGATGATGAACCTATCAGTTTGCAGCAAAAATCAACAGGGCCTTTCCATTTAGAATTTTCCTTGCGTCTTTTTGCCATTTCTAGAGCTTGGTGCAGATATTGAAATAATCGTCAAGGAAGACTAGAAATATATAAAGAATCATGAGAATATCAATAGTTAATTATGATTTTCAAATTTTTTTTTTTGGATAATTTTATCATAATTCCTCATTTAGAGTTTTATTTTGTCTACTAATTTTCATAGAACTTTTATATACACTTGAGATCATTTTGAAATGATAGGTCAAGCTATTCGAGCATAAAAACTAAGCTGAAATATTTATTTATTTTTAGTCATTCTATTGCTTCTAATTTTTATCTTTTTGTTTTTCTAATTATTTTTATATATGAGGTTATGTATATGTTTATCTAAATTCTTGTTTAGTTCTTGCAATTACTTGCACTATGTTTTTTCTACTATAAATTTATTTTCTTTAGATATCTTTTATCTAACTAAAATTAGTATTTGAATATATTTTTCTTTAAAATAAACGTAAAAGCATGGGTCATGACTTATGATTAATTTCATGTTAGGGTAGCTTGAAATATTGAATTTATTGTAATTGAAATTATATATTTTTCTTAGGATTCATCTTGTCTCTTATATATTTCTTATAGGTGAAACTTATGTTTAAAATTTAATAATTTTATTTTCACTGATCATTTAAAGTGAGTAAAAAAATAAGTTCTAATTTTTTAAAATTTTAAAGATAATTTAATAAAATTAATACTATGTCTAAATTACAGAAGTTCATCTAAATGACTTATGATTCTTTTGACATAAATCCTAAACTTTCTTAAAAAATAACCTCAATTGCTTGTACATTAGAATTTTAAAATTATAATTCTACCAATAAAGTTATATGCATGCATGAAATATATAAAGAATAATGAGAATACCAATAAGGTAATCCCAATTTTAAATTGTGAACCTTTCATTACTTTAATCATAGTACCTTATTTAGAATTTTAGTACCAAAAAATCTCTTATGTACACCCTTGAGATTCTTTTGGAATGATAATTCATAAGAATGCCAATAATTATTGGTTATTTGAATTTTTATATATGATGAAGTAAAATAAAACTTTGAAAAAAAAATTAGAGTATATAGTTATTTACGACAGCCCATTTTTATCTTATATGCTATCTATATTGCTTTCAAAAAGTAGTTTCTGATTTCTTAATGAATAAATTAACATGTTTATTATATTCTGTGGACCTCCGAAAGAGCACCGCTCGCGGGGGTTCGAATGCAGAGGGTACGGCCGCACTATCCCGTAGGACAAAACGATCGTAGGCCTCTACGCTCGACACGAACGGGTCGATGGGAGGGCAGATTGGATCGCGCATACGACTGACAATGAATAAATTAACATCTTTATTATATTCCAAATAAGAAAACATCATGATTGTACAATTATAGAAACTAATATGCTTACAAGTCCAAAATTAATAGAAGTATACATGTCTAATAATTCAACTTCAAATTCCCTTTTGAAAATAAATGACAAATAAATATATAATTTTTAATGTGATGATATTACAATAACTTCTATTTTTATTTTATTTTATAGCACTCTTTTTAAATTTTAAATTCTAACAAAGTGTACTAAGTGCATGTGCAATTAAACTAGTTAAAAGATAAATATGATGTGCAAAATAATAATCAAGTCATTATATAATTTTCTTCAACTTTACTGTATAATTTCATTAATATTTTGAATGCCCAAAAATTTTTGAATTATGTGAAATTCTTATGAATAATTAGGTATACATTTGTGTTGGCCAAAAAGGTTTTAAAGCATCTCAAGTAAATAAAAAATTAACTAAATAAACTTGAATGTGATTTTAATTCTCACTTCTACCTTAGCTCAATCAGAAAATAAATACTGGCAATTGGTTCGATTGGCAATGGCCTGACAATTAAAATAGGAATTCAAATTGATGCTTTTGTTCGGCATGTGTGAAGCAAATTAGAAAGAAATGGTTTATAATCATGAAAGAATTGTCTGTTTTTTCTCCTATATTTGAAATTGATTAGAAACTTCTCTTTATATTTATTGTTTGAAGTGGATTGTTGTGAGCAATTAGTAATGTATTAATGATGGTTTTGCTGATGATCTCCTAGGCATTCTCTCAAATTACCTTTGAATTTCTTGTGCTCCCTTTTTGAGTTCAACCTTCATAGAGGGAAGAGTAATTAAGCTTTTGGGCCGAGCAAGAAAGAGAATAGGGGTATGAATTATTGTGCGAGGGGAAACTGTGTGTGTGTGTGTGAGAGAGAGTACCGTGAGGAGAGAGAAATTAGGTTGAATATGAGAAATAGCTTCAATTTTCATTCCATGATATAATAAAATGCATGACTTTTCTATTCATGTTACATAAATAAAGTTACTTGAATAACTCAAACTAATTTAAATTTTGTCAATATAATCCATAAAAAAATTATAAATTTTATGGTTAGAATAAAAAAAAGACCATCTTAATGAAATTGACAACTCTTACCTATTAAATAAACAAATGATAACCCTAAGTTTTACTTTTCATGGCTATAATTATTATTAAACTCAAAATACAATTAAATAAAATTATTGGCTAGCATAATCTAATTAATTCTGAACTAGAATCTTTTGGAGAATCTGAACTTAAATCTAAGATGAAGGCCTTGCACTACATTTCACACGAAACATGCAAATTATATGTTTTCCTCACGTGCCTATGTTCTGATTTTTTTTGGTTCTACTGTTGCATTATTGTTTTGGATCCTGTTCCAATTAGTTTATGTTTTTATACCATCCGAAAAGTTTATTTTGTTGTTTAACCGAAATAAGTAACAATTTTGTTTGTGCACAGCTGAAAATGTTTAATTGAGAGTGCAAATTTATGGTTCTATAAATTAAATCATCAATTCTATGTGAAAGTTACATCAAATAATGAATGTGTCATGCTTTTATTTATGCACTCGGTTGAAGTACTTTGTTATTCCGAAGTTGATGACATCAACTAGCTTGTAAAATATGGAGGAATCAAACAAAGCAGTCAACATGTTATTGGAGTTATGCCACATTGTTTTCTCTCATGATGTCCTTATTATATTCTTATTTATGGCATATTTTCTCTTTGCTTTTATTCACTCACTTTATATTTAAAAAATCTGCATTCAGATGATCATTTCGACAATCCTATGGTCATAGTTGAACCATCCTCTTCTAAAATAATTTCTCAGAATGGCCAAATTAGTGGTGTTTCAGCTCCACCAACTACTGTAATCATACCCCAGGGTGATGTGCAAATTCATGTCAGTAATCGGATCTCTGTGGAAACTAGAAGAGAGAATGAATGGGAAGTGCTAAAGAGTATTGTCTACGGAGGCTTGATTGAATCAATCGTCAGTCTTGGTGTCGTTTCATCAGCCACTGGAGCCAAAACCTCTACATGTAAGTATCAATTTTTTTAGTGTGATTACATAACTAATGACTTCTGGATAAGTTTTTAGCATGAAAAGGGAGACAAAATGTAGATCCTTTGATAAGGTATTATTTTGGGTCGTACCCTCATTAATCATAATTAGTCCAGAGATTTTGGAAAATCTTATTTGAGCTATGACTTGGGTCCTTACCCTCTCTAGCATGATTGCTCTAATAAATTAGGAGAGCCCTATCTGAGCTTTGGTTTAAGGCATAACCCTTCACTTTAAGACTTTAGGAGATTTTTAAGCCTGTAGATTAAATTATACTATTTTTTATGTTGCATTGATTATCAACAATTGCTTGACTGTGCAAAGAATAAATCAAACAAGACCACAAGGAGATCAACGAAGATATTAGGTTGAGAAAAAGAGAAAAATCAAATCCAGTAGGCGCAATTCCACTAGTTCTCTTTACGCATCATCCAGGTAACTTGAAGAAAAGAAGATGGCCCTTATATTATAAAACTAAGACCTAAAGAATTCGTAGGATACCTCTATAATTTTGAAAGAAGGGCTATTCGTGGAATGGAGCCCCGGTTGACAGGAATTTACTGTACATTGTATTTGGTGCACCGAGTGTTTAAGCCTGATGAAGGAAGACTGAGCCTATCATCTTGCAGTCTATGATAAATTTGTTCTTACCACATTTTTCATTGGATTTTGTTGTTCATTATATAACAATGTTCATTGAATTTTCTCCAATAAAACTCAACGTAAACAAATTAGTAGATATGTTAAATAATGATTCATTACTGTTTGTGTTTATTTTGATGGTTGTGGACTTCGAACCTTGCATCAACATCTCATTGAGTACTAGAATGAGGTGGGTCATAAGGTAAGCTGTAGCTTTTGAAGAACTGTCCACAAAATCAGTGCCAAAGTTGGCACTGATTCCTCCCAACTTTGTCAAGTATAATCATGATTTTCTGTAATAAAATTTCATTCTCTTTTTGTAGTAACCAATATTTCTTGCCTAGAGATGCCATAGGAGGGCTTGGGGAGATTTGATGAAGGAGAGTAATTAAGATTATTGTGGAGAGAATCTCTGAGAATAATCTCAGAGGATTAGGAGGATTAGTTGTGGTACAATGCTTTTTAATGTTCCGAGAGCTTCGGTTTTACTTTATTCTTTAGTAAAGATGATCAAGTTTTTTGTTTTGCAGTGAATGTTGTCTCACTGGGATTGGCAAATCTTATAGGTGGTTTCTTAGTGATGTTTCATGATGTAAGTACTTTTGATTGTCCTTTTTAATCTGTTTTTCCGGCATCAGTCTGTTGCTATCATCCATTAAAAGCTTCTGTTTTGTTTGCATGAGCCGCCACCTTTCACTTCTCAAGTTGTACCAAATTGATGTCTTAGAAATTGATTAATATTGGGTATTGCTGAGAGTTACTCCGAGAACATAAATGGAAGAAAAAAAAAGTACAAAAACATCAAGTACTTTTCTAAAAGTTTGGCCAGTGAAGTACTATTTCTATTTCTACCCTTGCAGTTTCTACTATGATGGCGATAATTAAGTTTTTAGTTTTTACAAGAGCAGCTACAATCTCACGCGTTGTCTACATTTTTTTTTCCTTTTAATCTGTATTATATATATATATATATATATATTGTGATAGGAAACACGTGTAATTATCAAATATTTCCTATCAATCTTCGGAAAACAGAGAAAATTCTCCACAAAAAATCCACACAAAACCACGAAACAGTAGATAATTTGTATTATTTGATGAAAGGGAAACGGAAAATACCAAGATACAATTGATCCTCTATTCGAGAGGAGGATCTTTCTCTCCCAAATCTCTAGACGCGTTAGAGCCCAAAGAAACTAAGACATCTCAAATGTCAGCCAAAATCAAGATGCCCTAACCGTATAAAACAAACTATTTAATACATACAATCCAAAAGGAAATCTCTAAACAATCCATACATTCAAATTTCCCTCCCAACTCCCTCAAAAATCCTTCCTAAATCGCTCCATGGGATTTACGGTTCGGTCGGCGCGTACAAGGAGGCTGAAGAGTTCCTCCTCTATCTGCCTGAGTCGGTCCACACTGAACCTGTTGGACCGGTCTAACAATATATTGAAATCCTCTCTATTTATAATGAAACCTGGAGCAATCAAAATGGCTCTAATGATGACTATTTTTTATTTCTGCCATTGTAATTTGCACCATGATGACAATGATGACATTTTTGCTATAGAAATTCATCTTCTCATACACTCTCTTAATCCATTTAATCTCTCTTGCACATTGAAACCTTAAGAACGGCTATCCTTTTATAATGAAAATCTAAAACTTATCAAATACTGCATTTTGTGATACTTAATAGTTATATATCGACGCCTGCAGCTCTCCGAAATTAGAAGCAGTGAAGCCACTACTCAAAATGACGAACAATCTGACCTCTATTGGAAGCTCCTCGGTAGAAGAACAAATTTCAGCCTGCATGTAACAGTTTCCTTACTATCATACACCCTCTTTGGTCTCCTTCCTCCATTAATCTATAGCTTCTCATCAAGAGAGAGCACTGAAAAGCTCATCATAGTTGCTGCAGCCTCACTACTGTGCATTTCTCTACTCTCAATAGGAAAGGCTCATACAACTGAACCAAAATCTTATTTCAGAACTTTTATTTACTATCTTGGACTTGGCCTCACAGCCTCTGGGCTTTCGTATGCAGCTGGAGTTATGATTAGTAGATTTCTGGAGCAGATTGATTTGTTTGAACCTAAGGCTCCATTGGCCTCTTCTCTGAAGCTTTTTGGTGCAGACTCTGGCCTGATTTCATGGGCATCTTTGTAAGGACGATGCTGAAATAGTAATTTTGTGTTGACTGTGATGTAATTTTCTTAATTTTCATATGTTTTTAATACACTATTGCTTCATTTATTATTGCCATTTTTAACTATTTTGGGTTCATTAAGCACTATGTTTGTTGAAATGCAAGAATTTTAGAGAAATTATTATGTGTTGTCCCCGGACGGTCCAGAGGCGAATCATGAATACGCCATATCACCCCAGTACATAACAAAAAGTAATGTGACACATTCTGATTCGTGTCTGAACGGTGTCCGGTGACCGCACGTAATAATTTCATGAAATTTTGAGGCTTTTTTTTTTCCAGCTCTTAAGAAAATATAAAGATGGAGAAAGAAATCATGCCCAATAGATAAACATAAACAAAATTTATAAAATATACAATCATGTCACCGGACGGTCTAGACAATATGTTCTATTTATATGACTCAGTGGTTAGTGTATATGATTTTTTTTTTATTAAACTCAAATATTTCGATCAATAGATAGAATATAAAAGATACAATTCATTACAATTTAGATATTTAGGCGTGACACTAAATTTAGTGCACATGACTTTAATGTCAATATGATACATAAATTTCATCTACAATTTAGTGATTGACTCCACAACTCTGAGTTTAAATTGAAATAACCTATCAAATATGGCCAAGCAAAGCAACTTTAATCGAATATAGCGGCGAAATTAGCTTCCTTTTTATGGTAGGTAGGGGTGTCAATTTCAGGTCACGGGTCGGGTTCGGGTTGAACCCGAAATTGTTTTGGCACTATTCGGGTCAACCTGAACTTGACCCGTTTTTGAAAATGGGTCAATTTTCCTGAACTGAACCCGACCTGCTTCGGAACAACCTGACACGACCCGTTTTCAACAAAAAATTGCTAGCTTTCGGGTAAAAAACAAAAAGTAAAATTTTTCTTAAAATTCTGAGAAAATATATTTATTGAGGCAGAGGTGGGACAAAATATTAAAATCTTTAATCTATTAAAGAGGAAAGTTTTTAGGGCGTATAATTTAGATTCAGATCTGATTTGAATGTCATATAACTTTAATAAAGCGGGTGATAAAAAAAAATCAAAAATATATTATTATAAAATGAACCTTGACAACCACAATAATCAAGCACTTGATTTCCAATTTTAGCAATATATATGCAATTTATGTCATTGCAATTTTATTATTTATTGCCTTGAGGTCAAATCGGCCCAAAGCAAAGTTGGGTCAGCACTCTGATCCCGCCGGCCCGGAAAACCCGCCCGGTGTAGTTGAACTTTTAACTTTTTAAAACGAGGAACGAGGAATTTCAGGCCGACAGAACTTTCAGCTGGATACGTTACCTACTTGGTATTCGATCGCCGGCACTAGGAAGGCTTAGATCGCCGGCGACGGACTTCATAAATTCCTCTGCTTATTGTGAAGAACAATTCAGTCGCCCAGAGAAGCAGATTGAAAACTTTCGTGTCTACTTTTCTTCGTCTTCCCGCGGAAGCCTTCTTCTTGGCATCTGTTTCTTTCACCGGTTCTGCTTGGCGACGTAACTAGCGGAGATACGGATACCAGCTAAGGATTCAGGTTCACAAGAAGAAAGGTTGTTTCATTGGTCTCCGTAAGAATTTGTTTGTTTTGTTTATTATCCTGAAGCTTTTCCTTGTATAATCGGATTTGCTTGGTTAGGTTTGGTGTCCTTAATGGCATCGAGATGGATGTTTTTAATGGTTAGGCGTTGATCTTGGTACTTTGAGGATTTAGGGGAATATTGAAACTTGTGGTGTCGGGTGAAGTTAGGAATTCTGTTGAATGGTATGTTTTTAATTCGCTTGCATTATTTGAAGGTTGTCTTCGGAAGGTTAGAGGTTTGCCTCTTTTAACTTTAATAACCTTGTTCTGCATAGCCATTATGAAATGGTGATGGCCGTTCCATATAACTTATCGGGCTGTAACATTGTTGCTGTGCTTTGAGCTGTTATTAGTTTTGTTTCTTCTGCATGGTATAGCAACATGGATTGTGCATGGCTGTTTTCATCTGGGAAAATCTCTAGCATACTTTAGAAGATTTTAGGCATCCTTCTCAAAAGATGAACCAGGATGCCAAAAGAGATATGGACGACTGACACTTTTTGACTTGGGCACATATTTTGTTGCATAGAAAAGGCTTTTGAATGGGGAACCAGCCTAACAACCCACAAATTTTAGCGCTTAAGAGATCGTGTGCAAAAATCATTATTTGAATTTTATCCTATGTCTAAGAGATATTTATCAATTCCTAAAAGTTATGGTCATTCCCTTAAAATAGGAAACTTTGTTGCTTTTCATTTTTATATAATTTAGTTTTCGTTGAAATATGGAAGGTAGTTTCATATTTCATGTATTCGATTTGGGATTAATGGTTTGCATTTAGGCATAAGAGCTATTTATATACATTATTATTGAAATAAGTTTTGATTTAATTTTAACATTACTTATCTACTTCTATACATTAGGGATTAGCTATTTGCAATCAATTAGTTTTGGATTGGATCAAAATTTGAAATTACAATTTTATTCTTCAAATTTCTATTTCAGCCAACCCTCACAGTCCCTCTGTTTGCTATAAAAAATTACATGTTTGTTTTTCTGTGACAAGAACAACATCCATTTACACCGATAACAACACTAAGAAGGGTTAAAAATTGAATTATACTAGCTGACACTGATGTGAAACAAATTAAGGCAATTGGATCTAAGTCCACACTTGTGTTGACCTCCACATGTGTGTCATGATCAATTGAGTGCACCAAACAAGATGACTATCGAACACTTTGCTTGGAATGAAATCAAAGCGCCTAGATTGTGTGCTAAACCACCTCAAATGTCATCCGAATGTGAAACATATCACGCTGATGCGCTCAGGGGATCAAGTTTATCGAAAGGCTTGCCTGTGCGCAACTCGATCAAGGATCGTCGAAAAAACAACGGTTGACAGGCTCAAAATTGCCTAAACATTGTATGATCACAAAATTGACTGCACCGTTGCATCTGGGACATCAAATTTACCTAAGGAGATACCTCTCGCACACAATTAGAGCAAAGGTAGTCGCAAATGATAGCCACAGACATGATATTGTGCGACGTCACCCAAATGACGTCAGTTCACGAAACAGACTTCATAGTTGCGTCCAGAATGCCAAAAATATTTTAAAATAAATAGATACTATCAAAGGGGGCACACTAGTCAAGCATCAAAATTAGCACAAGCGTGAGGCGAGGCATGCTTCTCGAAATGCACATAAAATGACAAATTATACGAGGAGTCAGCTCATCTCTCTTTCATCATTTTTTTAAAAAATATATAATAAAAATTTTAATAGATATATTTTTATTTAAAATTCTAACTAATCCTATTTAACCATAGCTAGCTTTATCTCTGCACAACAATTTGGTGCACGCCTCAACCTTGTCCCTTTAACACAATAGATGGAAAAAACCCCCCTAAACCCATTACTAATCCCTCCCCCATCTCTCTTCTCTCTCCTATTTCTCACACAACCCTTACTCCTTCACACTCATCACTCCCATCTTCTACACGACTTCCCTTCCTTCATCCCTATATCACATAATCACTCAACTCTCCCACTCTCACAAACTCCACTCATCTAGCTCTTCTCACTCACATAGTCCTCCCCCAGCCCTTTGCAAACCATCACCTTAACCTCCTCAGTGGAGTCACCATAAATCTGTAAACTCTGTTCGGCCGCTAGCAAAGGATCAAGTTCAATTTGAGCGTTATGGCATTTAATAATAGAGTTTCCTCTAGATCAATCTTTTGGATTTTAATCATTTGACATGCAGTACACTTAGCCATGGATAATGCTACTAGCAGATTGTAGTGTAATACACTTAGCATCATCCATTAAATCAATACATGGTACTTGCAACACTTCTTTTCACTCATGTCCATCAAAACAATCTTTTAACTCTTGATACATTTTGTTGCTTTTTGGATGGATTGCATAATCAGAAAAATGTGCTTCATGTAGAATTTTTTTCCTTAATTTGTTAGTATTTGAAACACATATTTTGTCTTTATATTTCAACAAGTTCATTTCTTTAATTTCATAAATGACTTGCTTTTATATTATTTAATTTTTTTCAAAAAATTAGTATCTTAAGATAATAAATTATATATTCTATCATTTAATGTTGACTGACAGCTGCACTGCATGGATTTTTATACTCAGCGCATCAACGATAAAATTTTTTTTTTTATGATGATGCTATATCCAGGTTATAATCTTTGATAAGCTCTAGCCATCATCTATTCCTTAAATTGAGTTTCTTCTTATTAAATATGCACTTCAAATTTTTGTGATTCATAAACATTTACACATGACTATATAAGCAATATCTCCATATATTGAGTGCAAATATAATTTTAGCTAATTTTAAATCATGTGTAATGTAATTTCTTTTGTGATTCTTTAACTGCTTTGAAACATAAGCCACCACTTTTTCATTTTATATTAATAATGATGAGGACATCAGTAGGAGATTCCGGAATGTATATCATCGAAAGCAGCGCAGAGCAACGACCTGATCAAAAGTCTTTATTTTTATTTTGTATTTGTGTTTCTTTTATTAGTTGTGACGATTGTACCATTTATCTGTTTGTGTTTGAGTTGTAGCCCCGAGGGCATTCTTGTCTTCCTTTTCTAATTGTTTGGTGGCCTATATATAAGATCCTCATCTTGTATGAGAGGAGATGGTGAATATTGAATGAAATTTTATTTTTTTTGCTTGATCTCTAAGTGAGTTCATGAGAGGAGAGACCCTAGGTGGGTGAGAGCAATACACGTTAACCTTCGGTGGATTCCAAGGTTCGCAGCTCCATTTTTTTCTTTTCTAATTTCATTATACTTTCATCTCCCCTCCTAGCCCCTACCCGCCGGCCTTCCAAACCACCCATCCTCTTTCCTCCTCCCAAAAATCGAACCCCACCCAACACCTCACCCTTGTGCCGCCGGCCTCCCCTCACCCGTCCACCACCAACCCCAACCAACCTGTCACCACCGGCCTCCCCAAGCCCTACAAGTCGCCGACCATCAACACATCCCAAGGATTTTGAATTTCAAATTTCAAAATCGTCCATAATTACTTTCCTTAATTGCGTCCTCATTAATTTAGAAAGTTGCTTCATTTAGATTCAAATTCAAATTTGAATTCTAAAACTTTTCCTATTAATAACGTATATTAAGAGAACTCCTAAATCCATTAAAATCTAAAATCAATTTTAGATTTAATGGCAATCCTCAATTAAATCCTTTCCGGGCCCACATACTAAATGCAAACACCTCAAATTTCCCCTCATGTGGTCGGCCCCTCTCTAGCCCTTTCTCTCTCCAATTTTGCCACCTAGACCCTCATTAAATTCTCATTAAACCTTCATTGGCTGCCGCCCAATCAAGCCACCCTTATTGGAATTAATTTGAATTTCAAATTGAAGATTACAAATCCCTCCCAACCCCATGCATGTCGCCGGCCCCTCCATGGGATCTCCCTCCTCTCTCCTCATTAATCTCCCTCCACTTGAATTTGATTTTTAAATTTCAAATTCTTAAATCCATTTTCCTATTTTACTAAAATCTGAAACTAATTTCAGATTTTGTATTATTTCCTCTCTCCAAAACCAAACCCTAAGTCCACCAAAAGCAAACCCCTCTTCCCTTAGCCGTCCCTTCTTCCTTCCCACCTCTTGGAAACCCTCTTACCTCATGAGCTCCACTCCAAGAAAGAAGGTCTCTCTCCATCGACAATCCCCTTGATTAGTGCATGGCCGATCCAGATCGTGATTGTGGATTCCTCTACGACAATCAAAGTTTAGTGAATATTCATCAATCCATCCTCTTCGACCTCGATCAATAAGTGGACAATTCCGTAGAAGATCACATCAATCACACCTTATTCACGTTGGCATCATCAATTGAAGAGCATCTACGATCCGGAAGTTGGCGGAACATTTGGTACCCACCCACGTCTTCTCCCTCTTTGTCGAACTTTCTTTGGACTGCTACTCTAGGTGTCTTCTCAACTTTGGTGGCATCGCTTGGTTTGCTAAGGTTCTTTCCCGCTAACCCTTACTAGACGAGCTTAAGTGAGGGAAACTCAATGTGACTTTTCTAATTGTTAAGTGTGGGATCTCTTGTTTACAATATTTAAGTTTATCTTTATGATTGAGATCATGCTCAAGTGATTGTTATTCTATCTTGTAATTGATTGCCTTTACATTATTGATGGCCTTAAGTCTAAGCATCTAATCTTGTGAAACATTAGTTTATATTGTTAAGCTTAAATCAATTTCTTTATAATCTCTAATGCAATTCCTATTGGTTTCACATCAAATACACTTTCTAATCTTTTCAACGAAGACTTAATGTATATCTGAAATTCTTCTATACTCGAAGGAATAGTTAATATTGAAACAATCATTAAACAAGTCTTCAGTCAATGAAAAATTTCATCATAATGGTTATTCCATTTGAAGTTCAGTGCCTTTTGAGTTCATCTTGATAATGCAAAATAATATGAGAAAACCCTTTAGCAAACCTCTTGTAAGAATCTGCAGGGCCTACAAAACTCATTACTTTTGTAGCAGGATTGATAGTGGTGGTGGAATACTTTGTCAAACATTTGGATTGGTTAGACCTTTTGTAGTTCCATTCATTTTGGTATCTCGGGTTTTTGAGAATAATGTGTACATTTATGAAATTCTTTAATGAATTCAGGTAAAATTGAAAGGTGCAACTAACATCCTATGTCTCAAACTTTAAAAATGCATGGGTGGAAGTGTCTCAAACATTTGGATCGGTTCCCAAACTTTATATTGGTGAACTGAAGCCAGAGTGGTCCATTTATTCCATTAAGATAACTTGTGTTGAAAGTGTGAAACCCCTTAAGTAAAAGAAAGCTAATTCTTAAACATTGAGGCGATTTTTGGTGTAATGGATGGAATTTCCGTAAGAAACTCTGCAGTTAAGCGTGCTCATCCCAGAGCAATTATGGGATGGGTAACCTACTGGGAAGTTACACCAACATGACAAAACCATGAGGCTCTTAGGTCAAAGCGGACAGTATCTTGATAGTTAAGAATTTGGGCTGTTACAGAAAGTACCAAAATAACAAAATACGTGTACACCAAAATATCCAAAAGATAAGTGCATGCAGGAGTGTGAACCAGAAAGAGAGCACGTTGGTAATTGAACAAAAAAAAAAGGAAGATAAGGTACACATATCCATAACACAATAGCTGAAGAATATATCCAGAAGGCACAACTTCATCCAAACATGAATGAATCAGCTAAGGAAAAAAGCTCCTTAAATGATAAAATGTTGAGTATCAATCGGGAGCAGCCTCGTGAAAAGCTAGTGGGCATTCAAGAACACAGCATCCCGGCCAGAAAAATCAAGGCACAGTGCCAAAATAGGTTAGCCAGAGAATCAAGATAACCGATAATAATAATTCTTAGGGGATCTGAGACTGGCAAAAAAGAAGCTGGAGTGGATTATGCTAGTGTTTTAGACATGAGTGGGTAAATATAGATTGAGAGCAGAACATACCTGTAGGAGATGCAAGGATAGAATCCCCAAAAGGCAATCAGCCCCAGGAATCCACCTAAGAAAGTAAATAAAACAAGCTTAACAAATTAAATAAAAATATCCTATATTATACAGCTTACGGATCCCAATCAACTGGCCTTCAGTAAGATGGTATATGTCGTTGTGTGCTATTAATCTCTCTCGAGTGTTTTTTAGGAATTTGGTATTTTTTTTACTTGCAAAGGCTTTAGCACCATGCGTCTTTCTTACTTTTTTAATTTAACCACGTCTTACTTTTTGGGACATCTGTCTCTGCCAAATTGCTGTCTATTTATTAATTCTAAGGTATACTGTTATTTGTTTATCATATTATCTGCTTATGGTCTAAACCAATTTATCTTCTTTCCTTTTCAATTTGAGGGGCAAAGGTTCTTAGTTTTGGTCCCATTGGTTTGCCTGTGTAGATCTTAGTCCCTTTCTTGTGGCACTTCAAAATAAAAACTCGTGGGTACAGTTGTACTATGGTGATTACTTATTTGGTTCTCATTATACAGGCATCATAGTGTCTTGTTGTCCAGATGGGTAATGGTGAGGAAGATGCCTGGATAGATGAACTTAAACTTGGTGGTTCTATTCCTCTTTTAGAGCCAGAAAACTGCCCAAATGGTTGGGCTACTCCTCCTGGGGATAAATTCAATGTAAGAGGTCCCGATTATCTCCGAGACAAAGTGAAAATTCCTGGGGGTGAATTTCTTTTAAAACCTCTTGGATTTGATTGGATCAAAGGTCCCAAGAAAATTGGTGAGGTCTTGAATCATTCACACCACAGAGTGAGGAAAGCTATCGACAAGGCAATTGCTAGTGGCAGTAATCCTTTTGTTTGGGCCTTCAATTTGCAACTCCCAAGCAAGGATAACTACAGTGCTATTGCATACTTTGTTGCCACCGAACCTATCCAAGATGGATCTTTGATGGACCTATTTGTTAAAGGTGATGATACTATTCGAAATTCTAGGCTGAAATTGATTGCAAATGTTGTCAAGGGACCTTGGATTGTTAAAACGGCTGTTGGTGATCAGGCAATTTGCATTCTAGGGCGAGCTGTTTCTTGCAAGTACTTTGTTGGACCAAATTTTATTGAAGTTGATGTGGACATTGGAGCTTCAGTGGTTGCCAATGCAATCGTTCACTTAGCTTTCAGCTACATCAGAACATTAACAGTTGACTTAGCATTTCTCATTGAAAGCCAATCTGAGTTAGAGCTACCTGAAAAAATTCTTGGAGCTGTCAGGTTCTCGGAACTTAATCCAGATTCAGCTTCTCTTTATGAACCCCCTTCCGAAGAAAATCCTTCCAATCTGCAATCCTCGTTGCCAACTAGATTGTGGAAATCTATAGGACAAGGTTTCTCTCAACTGATTCACCATGGAAGCCAGGATCTCTCAGTTTCCACGTCAGAAAATGTCAATGGTAGTCTTCACAGTACAAATGGTGAAACAAATTTGGATAAATGGTAAAATAGTTTTCTTTTTGGTCCTTTGTTTACTTTGGCTCAATCTTAATTTCAGTTAATGTTTCTTGACAAATTTCTATACCGTGAACAGTTGAAGCCTTTCCTCTATTTATAATAGTCGTCTTTAAGAGATTTTTTTTTTGCTAATTGCTCTTTTAAAACTGTTGGCTATATTCTCCATTTCTCCATTCTTATTCTACAAGATGAATTCAGTTTTCTGCTAGTGTTCCTGGTGAGCCTTGTTCCAATCTTTGACCATGGCCCCTCTTTCTTATTTTGCCTATGATAAGAGGGTATTTGGGAGAAGGATGGCGAAATCCTACTGGCCCTCCGTTTTTCTGAATCTTCAGTTTTTCTTGAAATTTGTATTCCCATTTTTTTTGCCTTCTTTCATTGGATGCTACTGATGTATTATTCCCATTATGTGGGGCAGAACCTCTTTGCTCTATCAGTTTGATGTGAATGATTTACGGGGTGTTTTATGAAATTATTTGTTCTTTTCCTATAAACTTCTTAACACAAGTTCTTTTGGTCATAGAATGATTAGACTGCACATTATTATTGCAGATATACTCTTTCTTTTGTTCTTTTTTTTTTGGTCCACTCAACGATAAGTTTCCAATGCTTTTTACTTTTGTTCATTTGTATTATAAGAGTATAACATTCATTGATTGTTTTGAAGGAATTTGGGGTCCAGGCCAATAATTTAAAATAATAAATAGATTTCAAATATATTTATATATATAATATAAAACAAGACTTGTGTGGACCAAATGGGAAATAGAACAAGCTTTATTTGAGCCTAAAAGGGCCAAAAAACCTATCAAAATGAAGTTTTTAGCTTGGAATAGGCCTCAAATCAGCCTAAAAATGTCCAAACCTGAGCCACCTGTCCACACGGACAAAAGTAGAAGAACCCACTTGAAGCCCCAAGAGGTAGGCTCCCATCACGTCTCCATGGAGCATCACTATGAACCCTTGATGCATGGCCAAACCTACTAATTAGTTTCTTGGATGCTAGACCCGTATGATTATTTTGCAATAATTTATAAAAGCAACACAAAAAACTTCAAGCACGAGAATAACATTAGGTTTTTTTTTTTTTCAGTAAATATTTTTTAGTATGCCAAAGATCTCTAAACATAGCATTTATTAGATTCTTGAAGCATGAAAAGAAATCTCATGTTTTTCCATTAGAAGCATAACGAAGGACTTAGTGATGGTCCTTCAGACCATAAAATAGCAAGTTAGAAGTGGATCGTGGTAGGGTTAAAGAGGACTTAGGCTCGTTTGGGATGACTTTCTTACAACTTCTTAAAATTGTTTTTTAGTACAAAAATTTAAATTTTGTACTAGAAAGCTACTTTTAAAAGCATTAAGAAATCCATCCTAAACAAAGCCATAATTGAAACCTTTGATAGCTTGGTGGACTGCTTAAAGCGGTTGCTAACATTATTGAATATGTAATTGTTGATGTAGAAACGTGCATGATGTGATGCATATTTCATATTTTCCAAAAAAACTAGCAATAAGTTTATTGGATACCATTGTCTAAACAAATGATGGCATTATACTACTCTGACCTATCTATGATTGTTTTTGATTCTTTAGAGAAGATAATGAACTCTTTTCACAATCGTAATTGATACTTAGCATAAGATTCTTGATTATTTACACCTAAATAATATATTGTAACTATATGTTAGACCGGTCTAGGAGGGGTTGGTCCGGCCAGTCCCTCCTCTATACTAGGCGGAAGCCTGGTTCCGACTATGCCTATCCCGCTCCCTTGGGGTGGGGTCTACGCATTAAGGAAGAGAGAGAGAGAGAGGGGCAAGTGAGTGGGAAAATTGAATTGGAGGGGCTGTTTGGACTTTTTTACTTTGTATTGTTTGCTTTTAATAGTTATTCTCATCATAGGGTTAGGGTTATGTGATGTTTGGCTGAATTTGTATTTCTCTTAGAATTTGCTTGGGCTCTAGCTGCCGGCTAGGGAATAGGAGAGCCGAAACTTCCTCTCGAATTGAAGATCCATAGTATTTTGTTTGTTTTCTTATCTCTTTCATCAATTATCATGTTCCCCTAGTGTTTTGCCACCAAATTTCTCTCGATTTCTATTTTATCTTGTTGAAATTCCAAATTTTAGCCAAAATTCTTTCAATTTTAGTAAGTATTTCTTATCAAATTGTTATCAGTGTGCTTTCTTGGGTGGAACAACAAGTTATCTTCATTGTTTTTGCGATCGGAGCCTAGATCCAATTAATGGTAACAAAGAAGATGGAGGCATTGGAGGGAGAAATGGAACAACTCAGGCGGAGTAAAGGAAAAATATTTTGGGATGGAGGGAAGACTCTCAGCCATTGAGAACCGCTTTGGGCACTTTGAAGAGATAATGAAAAAGTTGCTTTAGATACAATCAAAAGCATCGCCAGCGATTCGTAGGGTGGAACCACAAGTAAAGGAGATCCAGGAAGACGACGATGAATTGGAGAGTGTTTTCCATCAAGGACAGCCACGTGGGGCCCTGTTAGTGGGCGGATCGGGGTATTCCAAAGAGAGGACAACGAGGAGGAGGGAAGCTGACCCCTTTGGGTGACTACCCGAGTATGGGGAGAGGTGGAATGGAGAAGGTCTTGGTTGGGGGGAGCCATTGGGTTAAAATCAACTAAGGGAGGAAGGAAGGAAATCACGTCACCATTATACTTGAGGAACCAATGAGGGAAGAAACCATTGGGGTATGGATGCGAGGGCAAGGAACCTAAAGATGTTGGTCTTTGAAGGGGAGGATGCTCAGGGTTGGGTGTAACGGGTAGAACATTACTTTGCCATCAATGGGCTGATTGAAGGGGAAAAACTCATGACGGCTGATCTATGTTTGGAAGGGAAAGTCTTAGCCTTGTTCCAATGGAGGGAGGCTAGGTATCTAATCTACTCATGGGGAGAATTCAAGGAGTGCTTGTTGGAACATTTCCGAGCCATTCAGGAAGGAGACCTCTACGAGAAATTCTATGCCCTAACTTAGGAGGGGACATTTATGGAGTACCGGGAGAAGTTTGAGCTGCTGTCGGTGAGATTAGGGTAATCTCTAAGGAAGGAATTGAGGGAAATTTCATGAAGGAGCTTAGGGAGGACATATGGGCAAAGGTATTGAGGCCTAGGGGTCCGAGGGAGACGATGGAGCTTACTCAGAGGGTGGAGGAAAAATATAAGAGCGAGAGAAGGGCAACAAAAGTAACATCATGGGAGGGGCCTATCGGAGTACCCCTACAACTCTAGCACCCAGAACCCAGTCAATATCCTTTCAGAGAGAAGAGTGGGGGAGTTTGTTATAGGGGCAACTTCAAGCGACGCACATAAGCGGAGGTGCAAGATAATCGGACAAAAGGATTATGTTTTAGATGTGATGAGAACTACAGGCCGTGGCATAGGTTAAGGACCAAACTCTTCAGGTTCTCACCATCTGTGATGACGAGGAAGCTGGGGAGGGATGTGGGAGTGAGGCATCGGTAAAAGACGAAAAGTTACATTTAGATATGACTGGAGTGTCCTTGAACTCAGTGTTGGGATTCACTCCAAATCACACCATGAATGTGAGAGGAGAAATAGCAGACAAGGAGGTAGTGGTGCTAATAGACAGTGGGCTACCCACAATTTAATCTCCAACTAGATTGTAGATCAATTGGGGCTAAAATTGGTGGATGTATGGTGCTATAGGGTAATGATGGAGACTGAGAAGATGGAGATATGTAAAGGGGTGTGTAGGGGAGTGGTTTTGACCATATAAGGGATCCAAGTGAGGGAGGATTTTCTCCCATTGGAGGTGGGGAGTATCAATGTCATCCTAGGGATGAGATGATTGCAGACCTTGGGGGATACTAAGGTGAATTGGGGGACACTGGCAATGGAGATGAGGGTGGAAGGGAGAAGGATGGTGATTAAGGGAGATGTCGGGCTCTCCAAAGCCATGGTGTCATTGAAAATTATGGCAATGGCCATGCAAGAGATGGGAGGAGAATTTCTGGTGTGGCTACAAAGTTTGGAGAGGATCTGAGTAAAGGAAGGGGGAACATCCCACTTTTAGTATAGTCAGTTGTACAACAATTTAGTGAGGTTTACATATTAGTATTCAATGATTTTCTTGTACTGATAATCATGGAGTGTTTACCAGCCAACGCATGTTATATCTAATTTCCAAGGAAAATTTTCAAGTTATAGATGATCGTTTTCAATTCTTTAGAGACAAATTTTGTTTAGATTTATTTTTCAATAACTTGGATCTTTAATTTCTTTATGTTCCTAAAAGTGATATTGCAGCTCTAATAGTTGGAATCTAATGTTTGTGTGTGTGTATATATATATATATATATATCGATTGAACTACATCAATATAGCTTTTCATAAATTTCTTATGAATAAAATTAATATGTGCATTAGCTATTTGGTTATGTTTCCTTATTAGAATGCAAGCTAATTAGATTTATTTAATTATTCAAGGAAAAATAGGACAAATAAGCCATAACTAAACTTAATTTGAGTTGTATTAAATTAAAGTTGATTACATGTTATGTATGTATGGGGCAAACATGCGAACAAGCATGAAAATGCGTGTAGCAACACGTGCTGAAGTGCATGAGGGAAGTGTGCCTTTGCAGTTTGCTGCAGATTTGCATGTGGAAGCGACCACGATGAAGCTATGGTACATACATAATGGGAGTAAATATATGCATATGCCCCATGATACCCCTTACTAATAACGTAGAGTGCCACATAACTGAACATAATTTTCATCCTTTTCATTTAATATTTCTCATCATTTGCATACTTATATAAAAACATTCACTGACAAATGCATTTATTGAACAAACCGAAGCATCTAAATAGTCCAAATTTCATCACACAAGTACTTACAAAGCCATTAAGAAAATCAGAATACATCATTACATTTAAATAGTGTACATACCTCACATGAAGACATCATAAACACTTATAAATAGAACCTAAACATTCCAACACTTGGCTAATTAGTCTCAACTTTCTCCTTTCCTTTTATTGTAACAACAGCCAATATATAAAAAAAAACTGATGAGCTATGAGGCTCATAAAGTCATACAAATTAAATAACAATTTAAATATAAGATTATCGAAATAACAATATTGGAATCATAACTGAATCAAACTTACTATTATTTACAAAACAACCTAAAAACATATTAGAAACATTCTTTTATTCATTTGAAGTCTGAACATAATATCATAATTATTTTTCTAAGGATTTGACTATCATTTTAATATAGTTAACTTTGATAATAATATTCATTAGAGCTTAGATAAACCCAACATTATCATCATTGAATTACATAGAGCTTTCTTTTGTCTCTTTAGAGGTCTCTTTTGCACTGCCTGTTATGTAAGTATCACATTTTGGGCCCCTTTTGTCCCACCTGTTATGTAGGTATCATATCATTTCATACACAACTTTTGCTAATTTGATATTCAGCAAATTTCAAATATTTATAGTTCATGTTTGTTTTATATGATTGCATACTTTCATAATAACATATCTTATGCTATTTGCATAAGAAATATGTAGACAATATTTAAAAATAATAATTATTTTCCAAAATATTACCAACCAATAAAAGTTTTAAACAACCGTGCTTGATCTTATTTCAACTTTCAAATCATTCATATGGATATGTAGTTGATTGTATATGAATACTAGGAGGTATGTGATGTGGAATGATCATGCAAAGTTGAATTACTTGAAGAGTTTACACGTTTAAGTATTAGAAGCCACAATAATCATATCTTCACAATGAATTTTCTAATGACAAAAGAAAACAATAAGAGCAGTAAAATACAAACTTAGGCTGAATCACGCACGTAAAAGTTAAGATCATAAAACATTCAAGTTAATCTAACGTTGCATACATTATTGATTTTCAACAATAATCTCTAAACTAACAATGAGTTTAGTTACTATAAGAATCCACTCCCTCAATTATCTAATTCACTAGGTTATAGCGGATGAGAATTAACATTATCTATGTGAATCAACTAAACCATAATTGAGAGTGACTAGGAAGATAGGAGATTTGGGGAAGAGTTCATCGTTGTCAAATTCTTAGATCTGATTTGAGGGTGAGGGAGAAGATCCGGAGTCCGGTGGCTGAACTTGAAGAAGTCCTGCGCGTGGACAGCCGTGTGGGATCTTCTGGGCAACCAATGAGAGCCTTACGGATTGTGAATCAGCACTAGAAAACTGCTAGAATCTTGGAACAACAGCTGTGACTTTTCAGGACATCAAACATGGATTCCTGGAGAGCAGGACAGCAGCTCGTCTCGTCGGAAATATTCAGGACAGCAGTTTTCCCAATCTCTGGAGTTTTGGGTAACAGTGTTGACAATGAAAAAGTTCTGGACAGATTATAGAATCCGTCCAGAAATCTGGACAGCAAATTATAAGGCTTAGAGAAGCCTTGGACAACTGCTATAGGGTGTAAGGAGCTTCAAGACAGCAAATCGTGACTCCCAAGGGTGCTGGAAAGCAAGGCCTTTTGTTGGAATTTTGTGAACAGCTTGCAGGAATCTCTAGGGAAAGAAAAATCAGAGAGAAGAGGGGCTGGGAGAGGGCGGCTAGGGCTGAGGTGGATTAGGGAATTGATTGGAGGATTAATTTGAGGAATGAATTGTGTTAATTAAATCCCTAATTCATGGGATGTAATTAATTAAAAGGGGAAGGTTAGGGGGCTGGCCAAGGAGAGAGGAAGGGAGAGGGGTTGTGTATTAAGGAAGTGGGCCCAAGTAATTAAGAGGATTGAATAGTTAAATATGGAATTAATTTCAGAACTTAATTCTATTCCTAAATTAGGGGAGCCAAATTAGGAAAGTATTTATGAGAAATTTAAGGGGAGGGAGATGGGGAGGCCGGCGGGTTGGGATCTAGTGGAGGAGGGCTGGGCCGGCTGGCGACATGTGGGTGGAGATGGGGACAGGCCATGGTGGAGATGGTGGCTTTGGGAGGGGTGGCTGACGGCTGGTAGGCCAAGGCAGCCGACGGGTTGGGGGAAACAGGGGCTTAAGGTGGTGGAATTTGGGAGAGAATTTGGGGGAGAGGATGGCCGGTGGTGGAAACTATGGAAGTAGACGGGTGGGGAGGGAATTCGATGCAAGAAGAACAATAAAAGAGAGAAAAAAAAAAAGATAAGAGAACCACAAACCTTGGAATCCATCAAGATTGACGGGTATTGCTTTTGCCCCACTTGGGCCTCTCCTCTCACGAACTCACTAAGAGATCATCTCAAGAGAGAAAACTTAGAACTCACAAAGAGACTCACAAAGAGATCCATAAGCACAAGTTGAAAATTTCATATTCATCATCATTCTATAATACAAAACAACTAGCCTATAAATAGGCTCAAGAAGAGAAAAGAAATAAAAGACTAAAATGCCCTTCGTGCTACAATACTACATAGCACCCGTAAGGGTATAAAGGGAAAAATAACAATATAAATAAGCTAGTACATAAACATATAAATAAATAACTCAAGATCGTAGCCGTTGATCTTCGATGTCCTCATCAGTATGCTCATATTTACTAATTTAAAATCATCTTAATGCAATAATATCTTCAAATGAATCAAGTGACATTGTATGTATCTATAATTGATAATATTTGCTTTTGTAATTTAGAATTGTGTAACTTACCTCTTTGACGAGTTATCTTCTCAAATCCTCCACCTCGTACTCTTCTTCGTTTGTACGTTATCTACAATCACCTCTTCAATTCTATGATTTCTTCAATTTCTAAATCAAATAAACTGCATAAAATAAATTCATACTAACATAACTATTTACCTCATAACCTCCCTTATGCATAAATTCGATGAATCCTAATATAAAATTTATGTAAACTTCTTTAGAAACTTATACTAACCTTTGCAAATTTATCAGCCACTTTAAAACAACAAAATTTGCTTTACCTCAGATTCTTCTTTCCTCAATTTCCTTCTCTTCCTTTCTCTTTTTCACTGAATTTGTCACACTTCACTCACGGCAACAGAAGTGTTCTGCTTCTTACTCCACCAAAAAACGATTCTCCTCAACGCTACTGATCTCTCACAGTGGCATTTCTCACACAGAAGTTTCTCTCAATTAACCTCTTCATGAATGAAGAAAATTTATATTTCTTTATCTGAAATTTTTGGGCACTACCGCGTGGGTGCTGCTTAATATCTTGATTTTCTAATATCGTTTTCAAGGCTATGCCTTTCAAATTGGAAAAATTATTAGGTGCGGAGTACGCACCGTCCGCACAAGCACTGGGTATCTAGTGATACCCAGCAGTACCGAGTGCGGGTACTGCTAGGTACCCGGTACCCAATGCTTGTGCGGATGATTCTCCCCGTCCGCACTTCGCACCTAATAATCTCTCTTCAAATTGGCTTATGGGGTGCATATATGTAGCTCCTTTGATATAATTAACATAACAAAATTGGTTAAAAAAAAGTAGCTCATTCTATATATTTTGACCAAGTATATTTCACATTCGTTGCAAGGTTACCTCCTTAAAGGATCATTTCAAATTGGTTTATAGGATACAATAGTGGAGCTCATATAATGCTTCTTTGATCTCTTTTGACAAAGCAGATTTCACATTCGTTGCAAGTTTACCTCTTTAAAGGTTCATTATTTTTGTGTTCTAAACCTCAAAAACTTGATCAAAATGATGATTTGATAAAAACATGTACATTTGATAATATTATTGAAACATTTTGAAATGTCAAATATAATTAAGACTCGTTTGGGACCGTTTTCTTACTGCTTCTTAAAACAATTTATTAGCACAAAAATTAAATTTTTTGTAGAATGCCGTTTTAAAAAGCAGTAAGAAAGCCGTCCCAAATGAAGCCTAAATTTTATCTATTCCTTTAAAAAAAAATGCACATTAAGGCTTTGTTTGAGACTGCTTTCTAAATTAGCTTTTTAGTACAAACATTTTTAGTTCAAGAAAATTTTGAATTAGAAAGCTGCAAAAAAGACGTCCCAAATGAAACTTAAAGCGATTAAAAACTCAAATTTCCCAAACTGGAAGAGGCAATGATGTCTTTAGAGAGCTTATCGTTTTGTTGTTGTTTTTTTTTTAATCTTATAAATTTAACTGCATCATTCTATTATTTAATGTTTTTCTTAACCATAACTCATCACATTTTGTCTGTTTTCTTCATTCATGCAGATTTTTTCCCCATTACCACTCAATCAAGTTCTGCTGGTTAGGATCAAACAAACTGTCTTTCATTCATTATTCCAGATAGATCTGTATCATTGCTAAGCTTCTCATTCAGCTCTACAAAATTTGATTTTTATGCAATTTTATTATCTAAATATGTAACTATAAACTTTATTCTGTCAGCTGAGACCATACTGCTTTTGTATTCTATGTATATATACATTTTTTTTAATGTAGATATGTGCGTCATATGCCTTCCCATTTATTCTCAGAGTATCAGCTATGGGTAATATGATTTGTTCTGCACCCACCGGTGTTTAGTTTGGTTGGTTGACGAGTACGATTGGGAACCCTTCAACCTGTGCTTGATTTCGCTCGAACGACAGCGACTCGGTCCAATCAAGTGGGGGCCAGGAGGTTTTTGGGGTGGGTGCCTCTTCTAGGTCAGTTGATGATTAATCATGCCGCCAAGCGCCCTTTCGGGGGTGACAATGGTGGATACCCCATTCCCTAAAAAAAAGGATTTGTTCTGCATGTCTTTTATGATGTTTATTAAGAAATTAGTTATTAGATGGAGAGGGAGAAAAAAAGTTGATGAGCGGAGCCTACGTCGAGCGCAAGATCGTATAATATATGAGTTTGAATTTAAGTTCGAGCTAGAGCTTGTGGCTTCAAGCTCAACTGAGCTCATTACTGAGTCGAGCTTGAGCTGGTTCACATACACCCCTACATTGGACCAGCCTAAACTTATTTTCTCTCTTTTTTTGTTTTTTTTTTATTTTCTCACTCTAATAGGAAGATGTGGGTTTAAGGTTAGGGTTTCTTTTATCATTAATATGGATAATATTAGATGAGGTTTTTTTTATTGAGAAATTTTGAATTAGAATATCTTGTGAGATGGGTTTAAATATTTTTTTTATTTAAAGATTAGTATAATGCAAAAAAATTACATATAATATTAATTTTAAAATAAATTTGATAATTTTTAAGTCTATTTTGATATAGTTTATGCTATTTAAATAAAATAATGTAAAAATAAAAATATGTATTATATAAAAGTTCACATTTTATTTATGAATTCAAAATAATTATATTTAAATCACTTCATCTTTATTATGCATGTCATCAAAATAATAAAATATATAATAATTTAAATTACTCCATCACATCTATTCATTCAAAATAAATTTATTAAAATGATTCATTCTGTGCTTATAATATATAACTTAATTTAATAAATTTATCAAATATAATCCAAATTTATTTACATAAAATATTAAAATATTTTTTAATATTTATAATTTCCATTAAATATAACGAAAGTTGAAAAATTAATCAAAATAATTATTGCATCATCTCTATTAATTTATCAATAATTCCACACCTAAAATCACTGTTCAACAAGCCACATTTCACTGCTCTGAAAAATTATGAAGGGTTGGTTGCCGGTTGACCCACTTGCCTTAAAATTTGTCATACAAACGTACGGCTTTATTTGTTAGATAATCAAGATTAACAAATTATGTGATATTATATTTGCTTTAAAATTAGTGTTATATATAAAAAATTATATTGCACTAATTTTAAAGTAAATATAAAAAAATGATTAGAACATTGGAGATATAGTTATGTACCCCTACGATATTAATATTAATTACATTTTTTAACGGTAATATTGGTTAGTTAGGATTACGGGCTTACAGAAAGATGATTATATCGAGAAGTCAATGGGCTGTATTAGTTTGGTGAACATCTTCCTTTTGTTCTGCTATTTTTCAGGGGACTGATTATATCATTAATGATTTTGGCGAGACATTTTTAGATGCGAATAACTACATATGATATGAATTATTGCGAATGTTTTAACATTTATATGCATGATTTATTATTTTTCACATAATAAGTTATTTGAAGCACCTGCTTACTAACTACAATTGCACATGAATGATTTATTATCGTAATAATTGCATGAACAATAAACAATTAACGAAGAATCTCTTTTCCTAAAAATACAATAGTTATAGAACAATTGGTACCCAATTGTAAAGTTAGGTCAAGTCGTATGTGCGTATGATCTATAATCGTATGGACGATCAAAATTATAGGTACGATTAGCCAATACATCAAAATCTCGTGGGATGTATGTTCTTTAGGGTTTAGGAGTAGGTTCGTCAAGCAGGTCTAATACTGAACCTAATAAATAGGCTTACTGAGAGTTTTGATGGACAAGTCTATTGAGTTGGCCTGACGAGCAAGGTCACCAAATTCCTTTATCCCAATGAGTGACTTGCTACTATGGAGGGTCTTAGAAAAATTTGAGTGAATATATAATTTTATGATATTCTTATTTATATATTTAACACTTAAACTTAGTATTTACTCTCATAATACTCAAATGTTTAAATAGCATAAAAAATTAACATCATATTCACCCTCTTTGTTAAATTCTGTCATAGAACTCTTCATCTTTTACACGCCATCGCCTTTACCAATGAAGTGTAATCATCAATTTTTGAGAGGTTATTACGTGCAGTCACTGGGTCGCCTGTGGGCCAATCAGGATGTTCCACGTCATCCGATACACAGCGGTACACAGTAGAGGTACACAACGTATTGCTGATGAGGTGTGTCCAGATAGGCCTTCGGATAGCATCCAGTGACCGCATGTAATAATTTCGTCTATTTTTTTTACACATTCTCCCTCTTCATATATAGTTGGTTTTATAGATTCCCTTTTAGGAGAAATTATTCTATGCGAATGCTAGACGGAAAGAATCATTTGGAGTTGTTGTGCTTTTGCAAAATGATAGTAAAAAAGACAACAAATATTCAATTATGAATGCATTTTTGCTGTCCTTTTGCAAAAGCGCAGCAAAAGAACAATAAAAACGCAGCAAATTTGGACGATTCTTTCCGTCCTGTGTCCGCACAGAATAATCAGTCTCCTTTTAGACTCTAGTACCATGTATCAGCATTCCTATCGAAATTGTGTCATAACTTCTTTATCTTCTCTACTTCTCTGTTATGATCCCATGACTTCCTTTCTATCATCTAGAATATCACTAAAAAATAACATAATGTTATATTATATAAATTACACAATTTCAGTGTTAAATTTATGGTAATTTGGAGTGTTCGCAGTAGGTTATCACAAAATTAGTAATGGTAAGTGGATATCTTCATAGACCGCACGTGTAATCGCACGTGACATATGTTGCCGTACCCGGACGTAATAATCTCTCATATCCAGGTCTCATCCTCCACGCGCGGTAGAGAACACGAGGGCGATGAGTGACAACGCCGACGGCGGCGGCGGAGCCGACCACGCCCAGAACTCCGATCAGCTACTTCTTATCTACGAGGCATCGCGGGTTTCAGATGTCGCTCGCGAGCTCCAGGATTCGGCTTCTGACCTCATATCCCGTACCTGGAAGGAGGAGCAATCCCTCCGCCAGCGCGCCCTTGCCCTTGATTCAGACATCCGGCGCCTCCAATCCTCTCTGTGCTCCGCCTCCAAATCGCCTTCATTTGACAGCAAATTAACGGAAAAGGTTTGTCGTTTACTCCAACTCTCCCCCCCCTTTTATGTTTGTCATGCATGGAGATATCAATTGCAACATTTCGGATTCGATGCAGATAGAAGAGGAGATCTACAGGGCGAAATGCCTGCTTAGCGATGGCGATGTGGCGTCGCTCTTACCTAGCAAGGATCATGGTTGGTGAATACGCTTTTTGGTTATGGGAATTGGGATTTGTTTCAGGCGATTTGATTTCGCTAGTTTTGTTATCAGGTCGGTTTTTGAACATGTTCCTTGGGCCTATAAATGTTCGGGCGACTCGGAAGGAGGTGCGGCTGAAGGTTAAAGAGGAGTACAACAGCTACAGGGTAAGAGCTCTTGATCAATCTTCAACTTATATTGTGGACGGTGAATCATTTGAGTGTTCGGTGATTTTCTGAATGGCAAGTGAGCAGACCGTGAAAGGATTCTGTTTAATCTGCCTTCCTTGTTTGGTGGGTGGCTGTGATTTTCATGCATGCATGGATTATACCCAAATACATACAGAAGAGAAGCTTTTTTGTCTTCCTTCTCAATTCCTCTTGTAAATATTGTGCCCTATGTTACTAAGGCAAGATTTCGTTTGTAACTGTAGAATTGAATTATTTTTGAACTTTCTGATTTGGCAGGATAGAACAGCATTCCTGTTTCTTCTGTTTCCATCTATGCTGCTTTTCCTAAGGTCCTGGATATGGGATGGATGCTTTCCAGCATTGCCTGTTCAGCTATATCAGGTATAAAATTGCCATAATTGGTATTTCAGATTGCAAACAAGAACTTTTCTTGTTTGAATGAATTATTTATTTTACTGAATTTGATTATTTTCATCGCCATTTTCCCTCAGGCTTGGCTCTTATTTCTCTACACTAGTCTGGCTTTGCGGGAAAATATACTGAGAGTTAATGGAAGTGACATTCGTCCCTGGTAAGGTCATTGATCCTCATTAAACTTGATCTGGAATTTGGTGATTGATATTTTGGTTGTTAACCTAGGTCATGACCAACATGCAGAAAATTATGCATTTGAAAAATTGGTTTTGCAAAGCAAAACCAGGTTTTGCAAGTGTAAATTACTCTTTTTCATATATTTGGCTAGATCAGCTATTTTCCTGCCTTTGGTAGCCTTTATTCTGTGTTTTCTTAAAGGAACATTATGCTTGCATACTCCAGTAGGACGTGTGATTCTATATATTAAGCTCATATGTGCTGGCATTTCTTTTCTCGTCTTTTTAGTCATTAAAGTTCTTGCCTACAAGAACCTTAAGACTTATTGCAGAAGATTTAATGTAGAGCATCCTACATTTTTTTAACTTAGACCTGGAAGCTTTGAAAACTTTGATAATGTTATATCTAAATTCTTTGATTCTTTCCTTATTGGCTGATTTTCTACATGAAGGAAGAGGCAGGTGCACTATGAGTGTTTCAAATGTGCATTCTATATATCTCGAATGAGAATTTTGTTGGTTGCAATAGTGGAGCATATGGGATGAGATCATTGCCCTGGAAGTGTGGGGAGGAGATTGATCTCGGTATAGTAGAGAGATTAGAATAGAGCATCAAGAGTCGAAGCGATCAAGAAGAAGAGGAGAGATGTTAGATGGGTTGTAGGTGATCAAGGGAGGCCCTCCACCACCTCTGGAATTTTTTGTGATGGCAGACATACTAAAAAAGTAAATAGGTGGTTACAGTTAGATGGTGGTTGGGAGGGTAGTTGAGTGGTTGAATAATGAATAATAAAACAATAATGGAATCTGTGGCAAAAGAGGGGAGAGATGTTGGAGTCCAAAGTTTTTTGTTAAACCAAAAATGAAAAGAATAGTTTTAAATTTATGCATAAATAGAATGATTTGGGATTTCATATGATAAAGTTAGACTTGATATACATGTAATCCATCTTGTAAAAGTCAGGTTGTGATCAGGAGAAAAGATTGTTCCAGTTATGCACCCCCAATCAAGTGGCTATTGAGGCTGAAATTAGATCTGCTAACAAACTTAAAGTAAAATCCAATCAGGCACCTTGTGAGATTTGGCAGAGCTCATTCTTGTTTCGATAATTTAAAATAGATGGAATAAAGTTGCAAACAAAAAGCCCTGTGCTGATATAACAGTTATTCAATGATTGTAAACTTAAAATAGCTTGGTGTACTTAAAGGGGTATGTCCTCTTACTTGCTGATATATATAATCTTAATTATTGGTGAATATGTGTTTGGCAATGTGAGGACGTTGTAGAATGTTTATTACATGTTAACCATTCTTTTTGTAGAATGGTTGCTATTGTCACCAGCTCATGTTCTCTTTATTAAAATATTATTAGTTGGGTATCACACTTCTTGAAAATTCGTGATGCGGTTCTCTCATTCCTCAAAAAGATAAACTTTATTGTGCATTCGCTAGCACATGCATTCCTTATTAAGCTTTTGTCAGTAGTAAAAGAGAGAAAAAAAAATCGAAATAATTCCCCGAATATTCATATGTGGCTAATTAGTCCCAAAGTATCACATTTATCCAATTTAGTCACTTGACTATAAAAAATAGATCCTAAGTGATCCATTGGGTAGAAATTGATTAAAAATTGGGATATAAAATTGATCCAAATTTAGTCCCCCAAGTATATAAAATAGATCCTAATTTTGCTCATGAGGGGTCATTTGAGATCAATTTTATAATCAAGGGACTAAATTGGAGAAATATGATATTTTGAAACCGAATTGGCCACATATGGATGGTCAGGGGCTATATTTAGTTTTTACTCTGGTAATTTGTGATTTGATTTTTTGTTGATGTTACTTCTGGCTGCATTTCTGCTGTCCTGACTTATGTAGGTGGGTATATCATCACTATTGTGCCATTTTGATGGCTCTTGTTAGTCTCACATGGGAGATAAAAGGGAAACCTGATTGTGCCAATAAGCAGGTAATTGACTGCTTAAAATTTAACCATTTTATACGTGAGAAAAGATGTAATGCTTCAAGCTTTCTACAGAAAGGGGTGCAACTATTTTTGGTATGGGCTATCATGCAAGGTATTGCTATGCTCCTTCAAAATAGATATCAGCGTCAACGACTGTATACTCGCATAGCATTGGGAAAGGTGATTTCATGATATTACATCACATTTGTCGCCGCTTATTTTGCTTCTCGTTTAATTTTTATCAATTTTGCGGTACAAGGACTCAACATTTTGCATGATATGAAATACATCACATTTTGCATTATATGAGATGTTGAGAACATTTATTCAATCTATCAATGTGACAAGTTCATAGTTTCCAATAATGCTCCCTTCAAAAGGCCATAATCAATTTGGACAATGATTATAATTCTAGTCCAATGCATGGAGGGCCACTAAACCATTAGAATCATGATTGCACTATTTATAATTTAAAATAATATATTTATAGAATCATGATCATTTTCCATATATATCATTAAAACATAGTGTAATCATGATTGCAAAGAAAATATCTGTAATCCATAATTATATCTCACTACCTCTCAAGAAGGGCCTTGCATCAGACCAAACTCTGCTCTAAGGCCTCTTTACCCTTGTTTGAAATCAAATACAAATAAATGCATAGAAGAGTGACCTATGAGTAGGTTACACGAAATTTAATATAGAATTTGATACATCTAAAGCCTGCAAAGTTCTTTTGTCATATTAATAATAGGGTGAAGTATGGTCCATGCATCCCACATGTTAGCTCCTTGGCTCGGGTGCTAATTATGTTTTCTCTCTATTTTTGCCTCAAGTCATCTTTCCCTTACAATAACCCGTACCAAATGACGACATTCCGGCATGCCGACCACCAACACGACCGCTTAATTAAGAGTGCCATCTTATATACTAAAAGCAAAGGGCTTTCAATCCTGGGTAAATGACAGTGCAATTAAGTGCAAGTCAACTAGGCAAGGAAACATGTGATATAATAAAGGTAAAGTGGCAATCCATGGAATTAGATCCAACTCAGAATGAAGATGTATTAATTTTAACAATGAAACAATGCATGATTCTTAATTTTAATAACTTGACAGTTCTTATGCTGGCTGGCATTGGATTAGTAATCTTGGTTTGATTAATATATTGGTTCGTAAATTCAATCAGCAGAAAGTGCAATGCAGTATTCTTTAATCTGATGAATCTTTTGATTTCCATAATAATATGGAAAATTAGTTTCTGAATGCATGGCACTACTTAATTTGCTTGAGAATTGCATGCTCTCATTATATTGCTGCTTTTGCCACTCGAAAAAGCTCATTAGACATTAGCCTTTTCAGTTTATGGTACTTTTTAGTAATTTTCAGCATTGGGATCTACTTCTGCGAGACCGCGACCAATTAGATTAATAATGGTATGCTTAGAACGTGCCTTTTTTTCCTAATTGTTTGATTAACTTAACTAATGTACTTTGAAAATGAGCATTATCGTATCAATAAGTTGTTCAATATATTTAACTGACTTGGCAATGCAAATAACATGTCAGCATCCATTCTGTTACACCAATGGAATATCACAGTAGTGATCACTTTATGATTTTGGTTTCTTGAGAATTCTGTCTTTGTGCCGCAACATCAACGCAATACTTAGCCGTTGAGATTAGTTGAAATTTAAAAGCTATCATTGATCCATAGCCAACCTTCTAAAATTATTTTGCAAGCACATATTGAGAAGTTGGAATGACCAGAAAAATTTTAGGTACTTTTTGTAGAAGTTCTTTATTTATCTATCTATCAATCAAAAATATATCTAGCATAAAAAAAATGATATATCTAGGCGTTGTTTCATGCTGCAAATGACTTTGCCTCTTTTATTTGTACTCTTCCTTGCAGCGGACAGCAATTAAACTAAGTTGTTTTAAATTAGGTTTCCTTGCACTGGACAATTAGAAGAATCTTTGTTTTTGCCTTCCCAAGTGCAGGACGGCAAATAAAAATTTGATTTCTCCCTGTAGCAAAGTCTAGAAAGCAGCTGGTTGCTTGTAAATTCTGAAATAAGCAGCAGCAGCAGCAGCAGTTGAGAAAAAACCAGTGGCAGCAAATGGAGAACACTGGCAGCTATGCAAAACAATGACAGCAGCAATGGCACGACAAGAAACAAAGGATTAGAAAGTTGGCAATGCAGAACAGGATGTATTAGTGGCTTTAACTGTATGTACATACATGTCAATATAGGTGCTCAATTAAGGGTTGCACTTGCTCAAAGTTATCTTTTCCCAAAGAAGCATTCGATGGAAGGTCAGGGATGGGAAAGCTCACATTATAGGAGCTAGCCCCCGAGGTTCCCTATTGAGGATGCATATGTTTTGAATGAGTTCAAGCAAAGAACTCATCTTCGCATGCCTTCACACGGAGAAGCACTCACCCTATGAAGAATCGCCTCTTTGAGCAGTTCTCCCTCACCAAGGCGATCTGCCTTCTATTGATATCTCTGTTCAAGCTACGAGATGTACTATAATGACATAATTTTCACTTGATTAATGAACTGTTAATTACCTGATTTGAAACCGATTAGAAAACCTTAGATTTATAGAAATATGGTTGAGAGCATTGCGGTTCTAGGTTCTGGAGCGCTGTAAGTTTATCTTCTCTATTTAAGGGGGTTTTGGTAGGTGAGCATGAAGGTGTTGGATTTGGATGCAGCAGCGCCAACCTCTCTATTATACAGTGAATGGGGATAGCGTTGTGGCATTGGGGTCTAGAGAGCTGCGGCGCTAGATCATTGAAAATATATATTTGAAATATCTAAATCCACTAACTCATTTTTTTACCTGTAACTCATACCCCTCAACTCATTTTGCAAGATTTGGTCTAGGAATAGAAGAGAAGGGGGAGATAAGGAAGAGAGAGGGAGGAGGGAGGAGGGAGGAGAGAGGAGAGAGGAGAGAGGAGAGAGAAAGTCATACTCAGGTCATTTTTTGTACACAACTACATAGCCCATAGTCATGGTGGCTTTGTCAACTGTATTCACCCCTTGTTCATAGCCACACTCTCTTAGGGGGCTTGTCACTCGCCTAGAGGGTCTTGCTACTCATCCAAGGCACTCGATTTCAAGGACTTGCCCAACTTGAAGGACTCTTTCAAGGCACTCAACTTAAAGAACTCACCCAAAGCACTCGTCCACAAGAATTCACCACCTGCATAGGACACTTGCTAGAGGCATCCCGAGCCACATTAAATTTGGGTGGCCATGTGCTTACATTTCAATCTAGTCCATATATTTGTATTAATATGTACTTGTGCAATCATGTATCATTTCTCTATTTTTTTAAGGTGTAGGTTTCCCTGCAGCCCATTTAATCCTATAATTAAGGAGTTAAGAGTCATATTTGGGACTTTATGCCATTTTTATTATTCATAAGGTTTATCAGACTTCCTAGCTAATCTCCATACTCATTTTCACTCATATTCACTATCTCCATCTAGGCGGACTTGCTATTAAGGTTTGGATTCAACATCATTGAAAGTTCGATCAGCGTGGATTAATGTCAATGATCAGAAGGCAAGCATTATGTGAAGAGCAATAAAATCATGAGTCGTCCGTGAATATGGAGAATTAGAACTTCAATCCATCGTGATTTAATGGATATGGAAGAGAGACTCGTGGGAATGATTAAAAAGGCACTCGAGTGAGGGGTTGCCCTAAGGGATCCTCTAACTCGCCATCCTGCTAAAGACGACTAGCCTATAGCGTTGACTTCAAGAGTGATAAATAATACTAGTGATGAATAATACTCCACTTATGCGAGTGAGGAGAGAGCTAGAAATATAATTGTGGTAATAATTTTTTTCAAGGAGATTGTAAAGGCAAACTTGCCCACCAAGTTGGAATCTTACAAAGGAAGATCTGACCTCTCCGACTAGGTTGCATGCATGCATTGAGTAGAAAACCTCTCTTATGGACGCCAATGACATGCTGAAGTTTTGGTTGTTCCTTACCGCCTTTAAGGAAACTGCCCTTTGGTCGGTTTCCTGTCTACTATTATGTGTCATTACATTTGTCTTCTAATTTAAGAGGATATTCCTCACAAAAGTTGTAAGTGCTCAGAGATCACTCTCAAGAGGTTGTACGTTGTCTTGAGGATGAGGCCAGAGCTAGGAAAATCGATGAGGAGCTTCATCATCAGATTCCTGAGTTAGATGTTAGAAGGATCTGGAGCTAATAATCGCACAGGCTACTTTGACTCAAGGCCTATAGGAAGGCCATTCAGGCATGCGGCCTGCAGCAGTCGCGAACATTGGCCAAGTTATTGGAACTCACAAGTAGCCACATGAACGCTGAAGAATAAAATAGTGTGGTTAATTCTTCTTTGATGGCTTACCCTAGGGAGCTTCCAAAGATCGGATCAATCCCCAATATCGCGAGCATGATAGGAACTGCCAAAGGCCCACAGGGTAGAAAGAACGCAACACATGCTACAGGAACATCATCACCCCAGCTAGCAAAGAGCACCCCTGGTTATGAGACAGCTGAGGATCGTTGTCCTGCTAGCCCTGTGAATGGAAGAAGCACTATGCGCAGCCTCCCAATACAAAGACAAACAAGCACACCGCACTCCCCTGCTGATATCTATGGCCGAGTTGGTGGAGGCCATTCAGAATAAGGAACTCTTTAAGCGCCCAATGCCGATGAAGACAGAGGCGCTCATGCTAGGGACACTTTCAAATTTTTTGAATTCCACCATGATCGTGGGCATGACATGATGGAGTGCCGACACCTTCTTTAGATAATATAGTAAAAGTATGGTTGTAAAACTCCATTTACAGTATCTCTATCATTTTGATTGAAATATTCAATGCTTTCCTTCTTAACATTCATATCCTTTTAACTAGTCACTCATAGTGGGAGCAATTGAATTGGGGATTAAATGTATGTCCATACATGCCAATATAAGTAACATGTAGTTACCAAAAGCATGCACTTGATGAGCTCAATCTAGAGGTGCACTTGCACAAAATGTGCTTTCCCTAGAGGAGCGTTCATCGGGTCAAGGTCATGTTTAGGAAGGCATTCTCGCCTAGATGAAGCTCATGCTATAAGAGCTAACTGAGGATGTGTATGTTTTGAGTGAGTTCAATCAAAGAACTCGCCTCCCC